TTTAGTTTGAACGATCTCCAGAATTTCCTAGTACTGGGTGTGGAACCTTTCACCAACAATATTATCTGGATGGTAAGAGTACTTCAAACCCCTGTAATTTACGTATAAAGTTTATACTTTATTTCTTGCGAACTTAATTTTACTGTCATTAACTATTGTATTACTGATCGTACTTTAGGTGAGCTCATTGCTGTTGGTGTATTGGATATTTTACCGCAGAGTTTATCTTCTGTCTATTTCTTTTATGACCCTGACTACGCATTTTTTAGCCTTGGCGTATTTTCTTGCTTGAGGTAAGCACGTATTTTAATAAATGTCATTAGTTTGTGAAATTTAATTCATTGCTTATTAAGATAAAACTTCCGGTTTGTGTCTTTGCTTGTTTAAGGGAGTTATCCTTTGCACGTCAGATAAATCGTGACACTCCTTCTATGCAATATTACTATATGGGTCTTTATAACTATGATTGCAAAAAGTTAACCTATAAGGTATTAACCATTTAAATACCCTATGGTTTTGGTATCTGTTTATCAGAAAATGATTTAATCAACAAGTTTTATCAAACTAATGATTTCTATGCGGACATTTGACTTTATATTATTAGGGACAGTATGATCACAGTTACTTACTGTGCCCTGAGACCTACGTTTGGACACCTTTACCAGAGTGTATTCCTAAATTTAAAGTTACTAAATACTCTAGACTTTATCATGGTTCTGGTGAGCTCCTGTTTACTAGTACTGATAGCTTTAGAGTTTATTTAATGAGTGATATTTACCTTTTTCTTAGAAAATAATAATCCAGAGACAGACTACAACAAAGTTCACATTATGTTCATGAATCGAATTATGACATTTCCGGTAATTCAGCATCAAACAGACGTGATAAATGGTGTTGTTAGGAATAGAGATATGGATAGACATAATGACAATTATAAGTGGTCTATTTCTGCTTAGTTGCTATAATAAATTTCTCCTTTTTTTTTATGCATAGGTTTATTGTAAACTTAGTGAAAGTTATGAAACCGAAGTTGCTGAAAATTATGCCAAGCATGTCGGCTTAACCTTGTGTCGACGAATGCTACTGCATAGGTCGTAACGTTAGGTCAACTCGAATATGATACTGCTCTTTGTGATGTCCGAAATACCAAATGTCAACTGTCCATTATTATTATAAAGTTATTGAACTGCTTCTTTTATCATTGGAAATAATTTCCTAATTCTGTATTGTACATAAAGAGTGAGGATGTAGTCATGCATAATTAGGTAGTGGGTACCAATACTAACGTACATCTGTGTGTGAAGTACACGATATTTGTAAAAAATATTTATCTATCACTCTGTTGTAGTATTTACTAAAATTTTTTATGTTACTTTTGTTTGCATGGCGTTTGGAATTGGGTGATAAAGCGCCTTATGTAGATAAAGTGTATTAAGCACACATAATATAATTGTGCTGTATTTTTCAAATTTTATTATTGGCGACGTTTACACGGCATCAATCTCATTTAGAATGGTCTGGATTGTGTATAATTTTATCTCTTGACTGTTGTTTCAATGACAGGTTACTGGATAAATCTCAAAAAAATGTTAATTATATAATTTGGATGAATTTTCTGTTTGTATGAGGCCGAGACTAGTGTATTTTTAAAGTACATGTATTTGTTCACGGTTTATAATTCCCCGATCTGGATGCTTTTATTTATAACTACTTTAACAATAAAATCTTAAAATCTTCTTTATATAATTTACCCTTATTTTATTAATTATATGTTGTGCAAAATTTATAACTACATGTTTCCGGATGAAGGCATATGTTTTAACAAGATAAGCAGAAGTAGCGGTTTAGATGTACACAATTCTTATAGCATGAAGAATTGACAGGTAGAAATGAATATTTGCTACGTTGAAGTCCACCTATTCTGAAATAGAAGGGCAAGAAAGCTCTCGTGCAGTTCTCGCATGCAGAAAATTAGGAATAAAGCAGCCAACGAATGAAATTCTTCGTATTTACCGTGTAAATTTGATATTAACCACAAACGACCCTAATACTGTACTTTACTGCAGATGTATCATCGTAATATCCAGACTTAGTTGTGAATTCGGAATGATAATTAAAATGAAGTTACTATAGTGCAAATATTATATCGAACTAATCAATCCATTGACAAAACGGCTAAAACTGTAGATCTATTGTAATTGATATTGTACTAGTTACAGTAATAATGCATATTAGATAGAGCTCTTTTCAATTCAGGTCAATCTTCAGTATTCAGTTATCTGTCTTTCAGTTGACAAAATCTACAGTCTCATATCGATGTGAAGTTATATGATAGATATTATCTGTCATTATTGAAGAACCGTATTAAGAAATAAACTTAAGTTATATCTATCACAAACTTTGCATTCAGGTAAAGGTAGTTCACCATTATAGGATTAAATGTAGAATGCTGTACAATAATCGGAGTACCTCATGAACTTTAGCAAGCTCAGTTGTATACGCATAAATTTTTTAGTCGTAACATTAAAGTTAACCCTTTCGTAGTGAGTTAAGTTAGCAGGTTCATTAAATACGAAATCGTTAGAGACTAGTATAAAATTTGCAACTAAAATCTAAAATTGCTACAATTATATTTACATGACACATTCTGATTTCTAAATTGCGAAAAGATTTCATCTATAACTAAAATGATGACCTAAAAACTCTTTGATTTGGGGATACAGATTAAATTTATGACATAGCTTGTTTGTATTTGATGTACACAACATCTGCCCCATTTATAGATTTACTGCACCAATGAAAAAGAAATATCAGCTTCTAGTTACCTAGTAGTGACCAGGTCAACTAAGCGTAACATTGAGCATATAGGTATTCAACTATGTGAAAATCTTAACACTTGAAATTGCTGATATACTTTTTTAATTAGAGGTGTCATCAAGTGGCCACCGATCGAGGGTACATAAATATATAATGCATATCCTTCAAAAAAAGAATTCCCTATTCGTATCAAGTGATAAGAAAAATAATAGCAAAAGTAGCAACTTCAGCGTATCGACAAGAAAATTGCGTTCTAGAGGTATACAATCAAATCATCTAATTTTTAATTACGTACTGTAGTTTCAATTTAATAGCTTTAATCGCAGTCATTACATTAATCTTAATAAAAATTAAATGCAAAAAAATATTTTTCGTTTACTAACGAAAAATAACACTGTAACAGATTGCCATGATTTATTTCAGTTCGAATAGTTATAGAACATTTCATACGAATTGTTGAATTAGTGTATATTGAAACTGCATAATATCTTACATGTATTCTTTTGCTTCCCATGACCAGTTTTTGTACATGAAATTATGACAAATTGACTAAATAGCTTTAAACATTTAACGATATGACATAACATTTACTACATCCAATTTCGGTAATGTTACAGAAAACTACTATAGCTCTTCTGATTTGATCTGAAAATAACAAGCCTGTGCAAGTAATAATTAAGCAATAGAAAGTTACATAGTTATCGAATAGCATTGCAATCTAGTAGCCCTATCTGAATAAGCATGTCTACGGTACTTGCTAAATAAATAATTAATGGCATCTTACAAATATGTAATCACAAAATTACCTGTAATGTTGTAAACATCATATCTAGCTCCCCTAGTAGAACACTATCGTCAACCATATTTTGTATAAATAATATTTCTGATCCTAACTGGCTTATTCTTTGACGAAATGATGTAAAACATAAACAGAAAGACTTATGAAATATATACAAGCCCTATCGATGTAAATTGCCTGAAAGGTCTTTAATAACCTCGGTATTTAATATATAATCGTTTAAACTACTGGCTTACTCTGCCCTTACAACCACGAAATGAAATACCGGTAAAATATCATCCATTGCTTTTAAGTTTCCAGAATCATTCCAGAAAGTATCTACTGCCTACAGTCATCACAATAAATCAAGAAATCAATAAATTACAGCTGTAGCATTAAAAGTTGTACATATCTGTTAAATTAAAAAAATGCATCTTGTAACAAACATGGCCTACCTTAAATATTTCCGAAAAGCAGTCCTTAACGACTAGAAGCTTCTGCATTGGGCTAAATTTGGTACTATTGCATAATAGTAAAACAGTAAGGGGCAATTTTAATTTTTATAGGGTATTATGCTATCACTGCGATTATGACAATATTCCAGACATATTTTTACAGAAACTTCGAAACCATAGAGGACAAGTTGCAATAACTCCAACGTATAATAGTACCTAATTTGTTGCAAAGTAGAGATAGCATCTGTGTAATGTAGACAATTTTCGCATTCGTTTGGTTCTCCGTTCTCATCCTTTTCAGGAATTAACCTGAACTTTCTACGTTTAAATAAAACGTTAAATAGATCGTATTTTTTAGTGTGCAAAATGTGCATAACAATACTATACCTACTAGCAGCAAAAGATTCAATCAAGGTTTACTAACTTGTTTATTCCTAGCTTTCGCATTAAAATCAGGTCGGTGTACTTTGCCAGTCGTCGTAACTTTCTTTTATAAGATTCTTCCTCTGTCTCATTGTTTAAAGCATACAAAGTGAACAAGGGAGGGTATATTCGGGGTAAAATTAATGGATGCAATAGGCTAATACTGCTGACAGTTTCTTGTGCTTCTAAAAGTTGTGGGTCATCGTCGGAATTTGACACTGCTAACTCACCATCAACAGGTAGATCTGGAAATAGTATCCTGGATTATCAAAGAAATGAGTCATTTAATCAATCTATTGTTCTTATCGCCTTACGGCTATAAATAATACCTTAAACTCTCGTACAATCTCCTAATCATTGATTTAGCTTCACCAATAGCATGGGGTAATAATAAACGATGATTAGCAGCAATCCCTAAGTAGCTGTATCGGAAAGCTTCAACTAAAGAGTCAACAAGCCTTCCCAGTGGATGAGTACCATCATCGAAGGCCTGTAATTGCATAAAAATTAAATGATTTAATTCTAGTTACAAGTACTCAGAAATGGTGCTTCAGTCAAATACTTTGCATTTGAAATACTTTAGTAATTACAAGATAGTTGCATAAACTTATACCATGTATAAGTAAGTACCTTTGATAAATAATGCATTAAAGCCTGCAAGTCTGTTCCTTTTATATCTGGTGCAACTGTTAAATCAACATCAGAGTCTAAAATATCACTTCCAATGCTTTGAGATGATCGCGAAATTGGAAGTGCTGGTACTGCAGCTGGCTTATTCTTTAATTTCTCCATTCCGTCAGTAATGTTTTGCCAGGCACTTTTTGAATCGATTTTACCTCGATGAGCACCAATTACCAAACGAAACTGTAAAAATAATGATTCCCACTTCTTATCAGGATTAACGGCGTAATTATTTTCTTCGGATGATAATTCAGAAGGGCTAATACAGTAGTGCATATAAACAAATAAGGTGTGTTATAATTGCAGATCTATTTTTTAAGTTTTAAGTGTTCCATTATATATACATAACTTATGTATTTTTATTGCAGTATCGACAAATCGTATATGAATCTAACAATAAGCCTTACCTCGGAAGCATATCATAAAATGATCTCTCGCTATCGAGATCAGACATATTTTGCTTGTAGAAGGATCCATTAATTTTAATGCTATTGCCCCATTTTCCGTTGAAAGATCCTTCAATGTAATCTCCATTGGGAAGTGTTAAAACACCCTAAAAGGACACATCAGAAAGAACAATCAATATAAGTACAGAAGCCAAAGAATAAAGATTGATAAATCGATAAATAACATTAAAGATCTTGGTTTAGAATGTAATCATCAAAATCAGCTGTGTTACAGCTACCTTTCCACTCAATATAGCATCAGATGAAAATTCACCAACAAATTTAGTTTTATCATCAGTCAATAGAATTCCGTTACCCTATAAAAGTTAGAACGTTATTAAGTTTAGAACAATAGTCCTATAAAGGTAGGTTTATCGGCAAGCTCCACCTAACAACTCACAACGAGTCGATCATTGCTGAAAGAACCTGCGAGAAATATACCATCCAATGTTATTACAACACCTTCACCATGGCGAGTATCATTTGACCAAATGCCCATATATCTTTTACCCCTATACACGTAATTCACAGGATTCGGATCTTTAAAGCTATGCAAAATATCATGCAATATATGATGTTGTACTGACTTGTGGTCATAGATTCCATATCCAGCTTTATTATCGCAAAGCCATTCACCAATGTAAAAACTACTATTTACGTTGGTAACAGTTCCTTGCTTCATAATGCCATGTCCATGTCGCATATCTTGATACCAGAAGCCATTGTATTCATCACCATTAGCGTATCTAATTTCGTATTAAGTAGAAATTTACGTTTATAATACGAACATAAAGGAGTTCTAAAAGTGCTTGCTTACTTCATTGTTCCATATCCGTATTTTCTTCCGGTTCGCCACTCACCAACGAAAACATCATTTTGGTTATGATTAGATAGCGTGGTATACTGTCCAAGTCTATCCAATTTTTAATTGGTTACAAATTATATAATTTATCTTATCAGCATAAGCTACTAGTTATTTATAAAAATATTTGATAGAAGCAACTGCCATAAATTGATGATCAGTGTTACACATTACCCATGAAATAAATTCTTTTTGAACTGTCCTATGTAAACACTACCATCATTCCATTTCATTTCACCACTATCATGGAATAGAAAATAGAACAGTGAACTAAAGTTATGCTAAACGATATAATTTATGACAAAACTTAGATAAATTTATACACTTACTGTCCATGCAATTTTCCAGCAAACCACCAACCTAAGTACTTTGCATCTTTATAATCTCCTGAATTAAACAAGTATTCAGCGTACCGATACTGAGGCAAAAGACTACCACTCTGTTGCTTTTTTTGTATTCTGGCGAAAAATATTATAAAGTAATACGTTAATGAACACACCCCACAAGAAAGTACTGATTTAATTGAGATTCCTACTTTGCGTATGGACTGGAGGCGATACTACTAAGTACTGCCTGCTTGATATTTCTTAACCATTCTGACTAGAAATTGTTTGTATCAGGAGGTAGAAACGTGAGATTTATACGCAAATCAAAGATTACATTGTTTAAATTCATTTCAAGAATTATGGATACTTAATGATAATATAATATACAAATACTCCAGTTTACCTTAGCTATGGATGATGATGCACTCAGTTCCAGTGTTTCTTCAGGTGTTATCAGTGTGAAGATATTGCTGCTGCTGCTGCTATAGACAATTGTGAATGGCATACGTTTAATTTCGATTTTATAGTTGTAACGAAACACTAAAAATGACTATCCAAAGTAATTCTTACTTAGCAGAGTTTGTATCTTCATCAGGATCGATCCAAAGCGTTGTTAAAGGGCATATGAAGCAGCTATTGGTCTAAGTTTTGTTAGTCGGTTAAAACTTAATACAATATCGGTATTAAATATTTCTTCCGACAACTGATATAAATTATCACTCACGTGGTGTCGTACAAAGACTCTATTAAAGAGAATAAAGTTATAATTTGTAAATCGTCCGGACTTAGAATATTGCAAAGGATTCTTTTTTGACGTGCTAAGGATTAGTCGAAGTTGTGGAATGCAAAGATGCTCCTAGAATTCAAAATCGTCATTAGTACAGAAAAAATTTCGTTAGCCACTACGACGAGATTTTAAAATTACATGATACCCTTAGCTTTGGACTACACTCTCTCCAGAATTGTTTAGTTATTTCAGCTCTAGGGTATTCATCATGTAATGAATTAGATAACGATTGCCAACGTGAAGATAAGTTTCTAACAAGTTTAAGCATTTTCTTGGTCTACCATATTAAGCAAACAGAATTTTATCAATAACATACAATTCATTTTATGCTTGTACAAGTTGTATTTTAAATCGTTAAGAAATACTATATTAAGAATTGGTTATGACAAGTAATTAAGGGCTTAAAATTGTAACTTACAAAGTCGGAACTAGGAATAGTACTGAATTTTTGAATCAAGCCACTCAGAACCGCTATAACATACTTTAAGCGATTTAAGGGTAAATAAAGGAATTGCTCTAAAAGCGTTTCGTGTGATTTCGCAGTCTGAATTGAGTAAAAATTGATTAATATATGTAAATTTTATCCAGCTACGAAGTATAGTAGAATGTAAAACAACCATACTTCCTTAGAACCACCGGAACGTGTATTTGGCGCATTTTTGGATTTTGGGGATAGGCTATATGAAAACATAGACATAGAGGAATCATTTTTATTAAAAGATTGTTGTAGATATTTTATGAGTAGAAAGGCCGAAATTAAAGCATGACAACTTCTGATTAAGAAATGAAAAGGTTCTACGCATCATAACTTTCGAATTTATCCTATATTAATTAGTTATATAAGCTAATTATTACCATTATTAATTGAGGTTAGTTACCTGCTGCCGAATAATGATTTAGGCATGTACTCAGACACGAAAGATTTTAATGAAGTGGAAAGTTCAGAGAGCGGCAATGTTTTGTAATAGTTATTGATGATTTTCCATAATTCACTACTTGCTGCTAGACTTATCTCGTTAGATTGCCTTCGAAGCAACAAAAATTTATTAGTTCAAGATTTTTAGTACATTAACGCGATTCCTTGGAAAAGAAGGGATTTTTCCTTATACCTGTAATGCCAACTACTAAATAAATCTTTTACATAATCGGATTACATAATAATTAATAACATTAAGTTAATATAAAATGTAGTACTCGTTATAATGATTAGTGTGATTCGTATAGCGCCTGCAAAATTATATATTGAACTGAATTTAATTATTTTCTGTGTATTTGCAACAGTGTAGTATCGTTAAAGAATCATCATCATACCATGCTGAGTTTGCACATCGGGTTATAATATCAACAGAGACAGCATCAAGAAATATCGTGGCATATCTAAGCAAATGCAGAGTGGTTCCTAAATCAATTACTGTACGATTTTTAAGTAGGCTAGGTTACACAAGAATAGCTCACCTAATATAGATACTTAACAGTGAATTCCGCTCAAGAAATGCTAAATCTAAATTTAAATATTCCTGAGTAATTATAACTTTTTCTAAGTCATCACTAAATTCATCTATATGCGTCATCAAAATTTCAAAAGTTTCAAAGAGTTTTCTAAGGCAATTTCCACCAATAACACCCCTAATATTTTTCCAGTACTCTACGTCGTATTGAACAATGAAAATTACTCTAAGAAATACATAAGTCTCATCAATGTTATATGTAAGCCAAAAGTTTTTAGTTGGTAACACTTTATATCAGTATCGATACACTCAATATGCTATATAAAATCAGAAAATAATTACCGGTTTGCTTTATCGGTGATAGTATACTCTTTTTAGCTGTAGTAATCTGACAGTATAAAATTCTATCTTGAATCAATAATTCATGTAAGATTTTTCGGATATCATCGTTTTCATTTCTATGAGATATTTTAAGATATTTAAATTGTAAGATTTTTAAGATACAAATATTGACCTTGAACGAAAACATTTTCAATAAGTGCCTTAACAATCGGAACATTTCTGTTATCGATAATTATTTACAATTTTTTAAGTGATTTACCTTGCAGACACAAAACAGCTTTGACCATAATTACTAGCAATGGCGCATATATAATCCTATACAATTCAATTTTTTGAGATAAATCTTTAAAGTACTTTGTAATAACATCTTATTCAGTCTAACCTCTTTTGGAACTGTAATATTAGCATAGGTGGTTTTCTTATCCCTAAAATTGACATCAACTTAAAACGTTAGTTGGAAGAGTCATTAATCTTGTACAGCAATCACTCATGCTGCTTCTATCTGCTGTCGCTACAAACTAATTGACTTGAGGTTTCTTCGATAAATGCAAATTACGGTACAGTAGGTTGATTGATATAATTACACCTGCTATGATATCGTTGCTATGCCCTCAATTATTAGTATATACAGTTATACGTACGTTACAATATTACCAATACGATAGATTTGATTTTGCTGATTAGCTGCAAATGTTAACAGGGATGTATTATCTTCTCCAGTTGCAACACCTGAAACTCTTTGATCGACTCCAATCGAAAGCTAAAGGTGGCAGAAAGTCAAACATTACAGTTATAAAATTATGTTTCTACGCTTATTACTTCTAACTACGATCTTCATTCCGGCGAAGAATGTTGCTTTCAATGAACAATACAGTGAGATAAGTCGTACTCATGCAATTTTATCACGTCTAAAGTTTATACCTCAACTTGTCGAGGTATCAGTGATATTTCGCCAGAAACTCCTAACTGTCCATTTGAATTTCGTCCCCAAGCATAGAGCTAGAAGGAAAAGAATATAAAACATAGGTTATTATTTCAACGTATAAGACTCGACAACTGTAAATGATCAGTTCAGATCAGACTACGAATTCTAGATAAATAATTAGTCCATATTAATGGACATCTACAATTAATAATTGTCAACAGTAAGTGTTTGACTACTATTGCGATAGCCTTTTGATATTCACAACCTGGCAATCGCTAGTAAATGCAATAGAATGGTAACCACCAGCGGAAACTTGTTTGATAGCCAATCCTTTCATAGATTCAATACAGCAAGGAATGTGTCTGTTGGAGGTGATAACAATGTTATGATAATTGTGAAGCCAGCATCAATCCATCCATTTAAATAAGTATATATTAGACATGTCTGTTGAATAGATATCACTATTGGGTAACGCCTGATGATGATGATGGATTAATGACGTGATAGTAATGATATAGCATAAACGATGACTTTATATACGACCAGCAAGTCCTAGAGAGCTGCATGAAATTGTCATGATAGCAAATAATAAATGATAAAAATTATAAATAACTGAGTAGTAGAAGCTCTTTTACGGTTACGAAATACCACGATGTGATTGCTGGTCAATAGAATGCCTAAAGTGTATTAATTTATTTTTCAATTTACTACCACTATTATCATGGTTGATGTAGAGTATTAGTATCGATGTATCGATGCATCTGTTGACGGTGGTAATTACTGTAATTGGTTAATTACCACCTAATGAGATGTCTATAGCACAATAACTGAAGTAATAGAATTACATAAGGTTTAAAATACTGTATGCTAGAAAATGGGTCATTTTCATTTCTACGCTTCATGCAAGTCTACATGATAGGAATCAACATTGATTACCTTAACATTACAGAATCCATCATAAAATTACATCATGGGATGTCAATATTACATTATCCTTTCAATTTACTGATTTCTGAATACCTTGCTGTTTTATCGCCAAGACCTAATTGGCCATAGTTATTATTACCCCAAGTCCAAACTTGTGTAATTTGCTGGCTATAGGTAAAGGTAGAAGATCGTGGTTTAGGCGAAATCAGAATAAAATCTTCATTGGCGTCTGTACTGTCACTGTTCTCATTTAATGGTGTCAAGGTATAATCGACTGAATAAGTATCAGGTGGTGTTATGAAAGCAGGAAATGGATTAATATTACTACTGGATCCACTTCGAGAGGCTTTCCTTTTGCTTTCGACTGGAGTTGTATTTCGCGTTGCATTGAAGGTGGAATCGACTTTATTATACTTTCGACTAGGAGGGGTGATCTTGGAAGGAGTCACTGGTGGCGAATCGACATCATGGCGTCGATAGGATACAAGAATATTATGAAATAACCCACAATCAACTTGAGTGACAAATTCATCGCTTAATTCATTAACACATAACGGCTTGGCATTGGTACTAGCGTCGTCATCGGCAAGACCATAATCACATCCTTGGCCCCATGTCCAGCATTGGCCATTGGAAGAAACGGTAATCGTATGCGCTTTGCCACAAGCAACTTGAACTAATTCAATACGTGACGGATGATCACCACCACAACTGCATATCTGCAAATCCGAAGGAGAACAAACTGAAACTTGAACAGGTGCTTGATAGAATAAATCATCTCCCACACCACATTGACCTTGTGCATTATCGCCCCAACTATACAACTGGCCGCCATCATTGATACAACAACTATGTTGACTGCCAGCAGCGATGAAGGTTACGTGCATTTGTTGAAAAAGAGGCAATAAAGTAAAGCATTTTCTATCGCTTAAATCATCCAAACCTAATTGACCATAATTATTATTACCAAGAGCGAAAATTTGACCATCATTGGTCAACATTAGCGTATGCTTTTGGCCTAAACTAATTCTTTCAATTCGCCTTGAAGAACGGAAAGAGGCAACCAGTCGAGGCGATGGTAGTCTTGGCCAATGATCCCATCGATACACTTTCATTTCATCGTTTTGTTCGCCTTCCTTGTAGACTTGATAGCATTCTTCTTGTTCACTATCATTCCCTTCCATCCCTTCAATCTTTTTTTCTCAAAGCTCACCCAATTTTACGCCAACATGATAGTAGAAAAAGCAAAATAACAACTCTGTGAAAAATTTCACTGGTCCGCCATAAAAGTCCAATGGTAGAATGAAATCAACAAGGCCAAGGGGCAACACTTAGCCTATGGGGGGCCTGGTGATGGTGTTCGATATAACCGGGTGTTGAATACTTTCCTATACTGTAGACTAGTGGGCTGGATGGCCTGGGCTGTGGCAAAGCCGGTAGCGTCCAATATAGTGTATCGTACTGGTATGCTAGTATAGTGTATCAGTATAGGATAGCTGTCTAAAGTGGGCTTTTGTAATGGACTATTCTACCTAGACCCTGGAGGGGAAATTGGCTCCAGCTGACGAAAACCCTGCTGGCGCTGTTCTAGCTGCAACATTTCCTTGTAAGTGGCCAAGAATCGCCGGTTTTGCGTCTTCGATCGATCATCTAGGTATGGAAACTGTTGATTTTATGACTTCTATGTATGTTATTCCATAGTCTACAGTACTGTTTAGGATAGCAGTCTAAAGAAGGGTTTTGTAATGGACTATTCTACCTAGAACCCTGGAGAGGGGAATTGGCTCCAGCTGACGAAATCCCTGCTGGCGCTGTTCTAGCTGCAACATTTCCTTGCAAGTGGCCAAGAATCGCCGGTTTTGCGTCTTCGATCGATCATCTAGGTATGGAAACTGTTGATTTTATGACTTCAATGTATGTTATTCCATAGTCTACAGTACTGTTTAGGATAGCAGTCTAAAGAAGGGTTTTGTAATGGACTATTCTACCTAGACCCTGGAGGGGAAATTGGCTCCAGCTGACGAAAGCCCTGCTGGCGCTGTTCTAGCTGCAACATTTCCTTGCAAGTGGCCAAGAATCGCCGGTTTTGCGTCTTCGATCGATCATCCAAGTATGGAAACTGTTGATTTTATGACTTCTACGTATGTTATTCCATAGTCTACAGTACTGTTTAGGATAGCAGTCTAACGATGGGTTTTGTTCTGTACTACTCTACCTAGACCCTGGAGGGGAAATTGGATCCAGCTGACAAAGCCCCGCTGGCGCTGTTCTAGCTGCAACGTTTCCTTGCAAGTGGCCAAGAATCGCCGGTTTTGCGTCTTTGATCGATCATCTAAGTATGGAAACTGTTGATTTTATGACTTCAATGTATGTTATTCCATAGTCAATGCTGAAATAGTGTCGTGCACTTCAGGGTGAATAAGAAGTAACATGCAAAACACTGCTACAAATCAATGAATTTGCATCATTGAATGAAGAGGAATAGCCATCAGCATAAACAAACATCATGCTATGGATTTTCCCCTTCCATCAATCCGTTGTTGATGCAGGGACTTCTTAGAAAATGTTCTCTTACAAGTTCCTGTTGATGGCATGACTTGAAATGGGGATTTATTCTACAGTCACTGCTGAAATGATGTCGAGAATTGGCATTGTATGCAGCAGTAGTATGCATGAATAGGTGACAAGAAAGCTTGCATATTTTCACTCGCTCTTGCGTTGTCCTGATGCATACCTTCACTTTTCGATCGGACTACTATAAGCCAATCAAATTCCATCACTCCATGGAGGGGAAATACAGTAAATACCATCGGCATAGAAAACTTTCCAATGCAATTCGATAATGTTAAGCGTAGTGTTCTCTTCCATCAATTCTTCGTGTCGTTGATGTAGCGACTTGAAATGTGTGATAGCTAGTAATTATTAGCAATGCTGAAATGGTGTCGAAGATTGATATTGCAGTTCTTGCTGTATACTTGCATTTTTCAATCGGTCTACTGTAAATCAATGAAATTCCATCATTCCATGAAGGGGAAATAGATACTATCAGCATAAAGAATGTTTTAATGCAACACGACATGATATTAATTTCCCCTTCAATAAATTCTTCGTGTTCTACACCAATTGCTCAGGCTTGGCACTTTCGGTATGGCTATTAATTTAAGTGAATTCAGTCAAACTGATCATTAGACGTGATAGGAAGGTTCTATTTGTGATGTATAAGCACCAATTTAATGAACTTGTTAAGCATCAAAGTACTATCCAACTCCACACGGAATCAAGAGTACATCTCTTATACATGCTATCTCTAAATACTGTACATGTTAGTCCATACTTAATACCAAGTTAGGTTACAGTGTTGTAGTTTAACATAATGGTAGCAATACGTATTAATTAGTTATGTATAATTACGCACGTGTATACGGATAAATATCCAATTAAGCACACCTTGACTATGCAACAAGACGTTAATTACTGATGCTGTATGTAGATTTTAATAACGTTATTCACTACACTACTGATACTATGTGATTAATTTTTGATATAGAGCATTACTCATTTAAGGTTGACTGCTTGTACAAGCAGCAGTAAAGAAAGCCACTTCCAGGTATCGTGATTTCAAATGCAACGAAACTTGAAATGTTATTTTATTAAAATTCTACATTAATAAATCAATCATGTCTTGTGCAATCCTTCAACCTTTGAGCTTTTGTTGTTCTCTTAATTTAGTCAGATTGATTAGTAAACGTTTAGAAAAGGCTGAACAAGATCGCTCACTTAGGTGCTGAGGTCAAAGGCATAGAAGGAACCTGACCAAATTTTTGCAAACAATTCTATCGGATGTTTTGGCAACCATGCCCTCATTAAATTCATTAAAAAGGATCGCATTTTACGGTGGTATTGCAAGCTTAGGTGGTTCGCTATTTTTATACTTCAGGATTCAATGTAGGTTTGCGCCAAGTGATATTGTATTTGTTTTGAATATCAACGCGCTGAATCAATGACAATATAGCGTGTTGAAGATGTATTGAAGAACATCCAATCTTATAATCCGATAGCAAATTTATCTAAAGGTGGATACTTTAAGAAATCCTTAGCATTATTACACGATGACAAGCGTGCAATGGAAATACTTGGAGGTCCACCCATATCCGTCGGCTATATACATTTACTAGATTTGTTTAATTACATTGATGGAAAGAAAGCTCAGGTTTGTTTAAAAATTGAATGCAGGCATTTTAAGTACTCCATTTTTGTGCAATGCACTAACTGGAATGAAAGTGATATACTATACTGTACTTTGAAAAGATTTCATTAAATCATGCTATTGATAGTAGCATGCAAGGTGCATTGTTTGTTAAATAGGCAAGCCTGTATTGAACTTGGATCATTCACCTGCTAGTTCTTGCTGTAGATGTATACTGTAGCATTATGAAGTGATCATATCTACTAGATTTGATGCAAGTGAATACTTATTCGCGTAAATGGCTAATACAAACTGCTGATAACTTATTCACTGATTTTTATTACAAATGCAGCTGTCAATTCCAGTCACTGGTCGCGACAATTCCGGAAAATTGATCGCGAGAGCTAGCAGAGAATCAATTGCAGAAGGGTAAGACTTAACAGTAAGGCCATTGCTATGCGAATCCTCTATAATTAATAATACTCATAGACTACATGTTATTACTCGTATGATTATAATGAAACTGATTAATGGATCAATTTGCATTTAATAGACCTAACACTTTTTCTACTTCTCCAGGTGGATCATCGATTCTCTAATTGTTGATATAGATCAGAAGGAGTCGATCACTATTGTAGAAGGACCAACAGTAAATTACCGTAAATTAGCAAGTAGTTGATGACATTACGATGAACTATGAAGAAATTGGCTATTTTTAAAACTCCGATTCATCCAGCTATGCTATTTTACTCATAGTTGCTTTAAAGAATTTACTAAAAATACTAGCTCTTTCTATAGATCAGATACATACTACACGCATTTTTTATTTAAGAAACGACTGTATCTGCGTTCAAATAATCCCTAAATTGATTAAGCAACCACTGAAATAAAGTGTATTACTGTTTTCTTCACTATACGTATTCGCTTTTATCTGGAAGGCCGTTCTGAGGCTTTATTGCAGCTTGGCAATAGCCCTTAAGATGTAATTAAATTTAAAATTTTACTCCTTTTTATGCTATTTATACATTTCTAAGCTGGCTTCTAGCGAAGTGCAAGCACCCCAAGGAATGTGACTTTTAGCTCTAAAATAACGAGACCAGCTGCTCTATCGACATTAGCAACGTTTTTTACATAAAAGTATTTTTTATTTTATTTAATGTTAATATGACAGAATTTATATGCAAATCGCTTTACAAAAGCATTTGTGTCGTTATAAAGGGTTTACGTAATACAGCAATTGAAATACAGTAAAAACAAAATTTCTGTAGCTACGTAAGCCACATAGGCAAAGGATTAAAGTACAATGGCATCAAAATAGTACAAGACTAGAGTCTATTCTTTCAATGCTTTACTTTTTTTTTTTCTTCTTTTCGCTGGAAACCTATAGAATAACAAGGGTAATTATTGAGTTAATTAGATTGCTGCTAGTCACTTATCCGAGATAATGAAACGGTCATACAGATAGTAATTATCCCTCACTTTTTCCGATGATTCTGCATCTTTCTTGGCCTTTTTTGTCTTTTTCTTAGCAGACCCCTACAGAAAGCAAGGGACTCGTTATTATTCATTCCTCATTAACAATTATCACTAAAAGTATTTAAATACTATATACCGCATCTGGAGATATAGGAGTATCAGATTCCTTTTTCGCCTTTTTCTTTTTCTTATCTGAGCTAACGATCTAAGCAAAGAGGAACGTAATAAATTACCAAAGTGCATCGCTATGTATCGTTGACAAACGTTAAGGAAGGCATATACGTATTCAGAAAAATTGGTTTTATACCATTTCAGGTTCTTCTACTATACTGGCAGTTTTCGATTTATCCTTTTTCTAATTAATATTTTCAATATAATGGAAAAGCCATTGAGAATACTGCAAACCGATATAAGGATAATGTTCTACCGACTTTGTGTTATATTGAAAGACACATACCTTATCCTTCTTCTTTTGCTTTTGTTCCGTTGGGGTCTACAAATAAAAAGATTACAAATTAAATACCGAGAATTTTACATATACGCGTACGTAAGTTAATGCACCTTCCAAAAACTACTATGTTATTTTGTAATTAGTAAAGTTTAAAACTGATGCATCGGAAAATATTACAATATAGTACCTCAACATTCATAGATTCTTCTTCTTTAGCTTTCTTGTCTTTCTTCTTCTTCTCTTTGACTGGAGTCTAATAAATAGACAACGTAAAATAGTTAAATACTTGCGATGTAATTAAGCCAACAAGCATTACGTCCAATAAGCATCTATCTTTCTACCGTTAATGTTTACAATGTAGGATATCAGTTATCAAGTACTCGTAATACCTGAAAACTTTCTGAAGCAGCTGCTTCACTGGAGCTTTTCGCTTTCTTTTCTTCAGACTATTGGAGAAAGATCGTAATTAATGAACAAGCTCTACAATGAATATCAGGGATACTATATCACACTAGAATTATCGCTACATTTCTAACCCAGTTAGCCTAACTCTAACCCTAGCTTCAGCTTAATATTTAGAATTTATATAAGGTCTAAAGGTTGCAGCAATAACATACACTATCGTATATTGCTGTCTTAACTGAATGCAAATATTGTGTCCTAGAGTTTAAGAGCAAATGAAGAAACATCGTGATTACGTTTAAATAACCTTAGCTGAGGCAGCTCCAGATTTATCTAATTTTGCCTTCTTCTTTTTCTTCTTTGGGGTTTCTTCTAAAACTTCTATCAGCTTCTTTTTCTCACTAATGCTTTCTACGCAATCGGATCAATACAAAGTTGTTACTAAATTTTCTCAATCTCAGAAAACGAGTACTATATAACAGAAACAAGTAAAATAACTTTACCATTAGCTTCCGCAATGACGGAAGTATCTTCCTCACGTTTACGTTTTTTACCAACAACGAAATCAGTATCAGGATTATAAGTGCGGACTTGACTATTATGAAATGAAATCATATTAAGTTTCTGCAAGACAAATTCATGACTAGATCTAACATTGCTATCTCCGAAATGAAATTAGATGGCAGTCATGGTAGCTTACCTCTGATTAGTATACTTGTCAAATTTGGCGCTGCTTTTGGCACTACCACTAATTTTCTTCATCTAACATTACCCAATAAATGATAGTCAGTACAACTAATTTTACAGGATAAGAACAAAGACGTAATTAACGTTGCATACATGGCCTTCTTCTAAACTCTTTAGGCGTATCTCAAGTTTTGCTCTTCCATCAATTCCAACATCAGTATTTGATTCTTCGCCTAGTGCATCGACTCGAGCAGCTAGTGAAGTTTTAGCAGCCAGCATACGTGATATCTACAAATAGTTTTTTTAGAGTAAATTGCGTAAGTAATTATTGCTTCGTAAAAGTTTCAATGGGTTTTATTACAAGATACATTAACGGCGTACCTTTCCTTTATTCTTAGGATTAGACTGACCAACTAGTGAAGCATGATAAATAAGACCATATTTTGGTGTGTCATGTTTGGTTTTTAAAGCTCTAATTTTGATCAATAAATTGGAATAAGTAAAAATGTTATTGAGGTTCACTACGTATTAACTGTAAAAATTAACCGAAATAGTGCTTTTTCGGCGCCAAGAATTTGCACAGTTGAGGCTGGATATTTAGCAAGATTGAGCAAGGAACCTACAAGAGATTACAGAAGAAACTTTTAGTCAGTAAATGACCACAGCACCATTTCTACTCATTCATAATTACTATACCAGCATGTGCAATTAATCTTGCTCCCACCAACTCGCCAACTAATAGTGTTAAATTAGGAGCAATAGCGGTCATGCGATTCTTAATATATTCGTACAGTTCTGTACGATAATTACTGACTTCAATGACCTATGATAGAGACACAGAGCAATCCTATTTATTCTCTAATTATCTCTACATTAAAAACTTTATTTTGACATTTTACTAACCTGATTGCACAAATATTTGATGTTTTCAATATCATCTACAGATATCTATCAAAACAGAGATCATTAAGCTGAGTTAGCTTAAGCTACATGCACTATGTTAAAAAGTACTATTTCGTAATAAGGGATGTAGTACGAATTTTGTCTACCTCTGTACCCATGGAAATTTCTGCAGCTTCTTTAATCTCAGCCTCTACTTCTTCGGGAAGAATCGATGATAAATCTGTACTCGACGTATTGTTTCTCATACCTTATAATCATAGATAAACATTTATGATCAATATTCATTAATTTATACATGTCCATATAATAAAATTGCTTAGTAATTAGCTGACATACCGATCGCATTGATTGTCTTGACAAAGACCAAGTGGTCCGATACAATTTTGCCCAATTCAGGGAAATGCCAACCATACCATTCACGGCAACGCATAACGTAATTGTTCAATTCTTTATCTAAATCATCTAGTAAGGCTATGGTTGGAATACAAAAGCATTTGTAAATTACAGGTTTAGGAAAATAATATAACTTCAGAACGTCGATGAAAGTAAAGTACAGTAGTAATTTTATTACCATCTTCTAGTTATTTAGGTAGTCATTTCACTTACATATAGCTTGAACGATCATTGTGTCGACTTTGTCTGGGCTAAATTTCAACTTGTAACGTGAGAGGCTATAGTATAAATTATAAATAGCAAATAGAGATGATTTCACTTTCAAAATGCAATATAGAAATGGATAAAATTAAGATTATGTATAAGCAAGTGGCTACCTATGAGCTAGACCAAGAGCCATAGCACTCATTTCTTTTTCCGGCAAACCTTTCATAGAATAGGTGATTAGTCAATGTTTTTTAACTATTCAGAACTATGAAATTTCTTTAGAGAAAGAAAAAGTCTTACCGGTTATCAATTCGTTCATTTGACTTCGTATTCCTCTAGTTAATTCATGTATGGCATTGTTACAAACACAAGCTATCCCAGTTTTTTCCTAAGTGCAAAATCGGGATTTGTAGTAAAACAATAACCCCCAAATTGGTTTGTAAGGAAATTAAGCTATCTAAACGATTTATAAAGTAGTAGCAAGTGAAGATGACGAAACTAACTTTGATGGCATTGCCTAATTTAGCATCAGCTACGGCAAGTTCGTCGTGTATATCTTTGGCATAGGCCTTCTTCAAGATTTTTTTCAGTTTCTTACTGACTTTACCTTCTACAACTGCCGTTGCAGCTATAATATGATTGAAAGGAAAAGAAGGCAACATTTACTCTAGCGTTCAGTCATTGTTGATTTTGGTATCTACGACTATCTATCTCACAAGATGTTGCAAAAGGAGCTATGAGCTATAAGATTGCTTATGATTGTTATTTGTATTCACCAGTAGAGTAACTTGTGCTTAAATCATGAACAATTTACTATTTATACTCTATCTCTATGCACGTAAAACTCCAGATTTTATACAGGTGCAATGCATATTGCACAATCCAGAAGAGAATAGCGAAAGGAAAAAAATTACAAGTTGATATCATTTAATTTAAGATTGAAACTAACCAGCCAAAGCCTCAGTGGTATCTTCGAATTTCTGAAAGTGCTTTAGCTTGATGCTATCACGAGTAGAAAAATCCATTATTTGTAAGGCTATTCGATTACGGTTTGTCTGATTGACTGGCTAAAGCAAAGACTCCAAGCTAGCAAGCTAGTCTATACAGTTTATTATAACGTTGATGGTGGAAAAGGTGATGACTATCGCTACCCTTTAAGAGAGTCAGGTAAGACTTTCCAGGTAGTAAGATAATCCGTACACATTCTACTGTAGCTTTTGCTGAGAAATAGTAGCGGATTACCTGGAGAAAATAGTGCAATCTCTGTAGACACTACCTATTGTAAGATGCACAGTGTACAAGGCATGATATTTCAACTGCATCCACTAGACTGTGGTTATTATTTTTGATTGCAGCAAGACAGTCAAATACGGCACAACTACTCATTTCAAACGCAATGGAAAGATGTGCCTTGACTCATTGATTTCATGACATGACAGTACAGTAGTACACTGATTTATTGTATATGCAAATACAGTGATTACAAACTAAGGTACCAATGGTGCTAGCTTGGCAAGATAATCAGCCTACAGTAGGTATTTACAATTTGTTGGCTTCATCTGGTGAAATGAATTCCTTATACAAGTTGTCAGCCTGTTGTAATTTCTTCTCATTCAAGACCTAAAAAGTTACCAAAAAAAAAATGCTATGAGCTCTTGGATGCTTGCATTGTATATTGTTCATGGATCAGTTGGTTGCCGTAAGACTATTCTAGGCAAAACCTATGGTATCCTTCAGTCTACGTTGTGCCTATCATGCTTGAAGACAAGCCGATTGATGAAGCATTGGAGTACCTTAAAGATTGCATATCCAGACGATGTTTCAAATAGAACCAACATCTTGTAGGATTACTCAATCGATTCAACTATTCAATTTACAAAGAAATGGCATTTAGTGTATCCTATTCTCATCATCGCATGGGCTAATCTCGCCCTTACTTTATCCATTTCAAATGATTGATTGGGTACTACAACGTGAACTACCTTGCAATAACGTTGGCAAAAAATGACAGATCGTCCAGTGGTTGACGACGATGACTGGCTATAGCCTGTAGGATCTTGGCTGACCTCGTTGAGTGACAAGGGTGCTCCTTCTTCCTTTAGCGATGGTTGAAGGTGTTTCTTTACTGCCAATCGTGCACGGCACTAATAATCTAGGCAGAATAACTTGTCTTTCCTTGCAGCAAGAATGGCGTGGCAGGCGTACCTAGATGGCAAAAGTCCAGAATTGGCCGATCACGGAGGTTGAAAAAGCTGCAGATTGCCAATCCAGTAAAAACAACGTGGATGCGACGAGGACGGATGGCAGCCAGCCCTGACCCCTGGCTGCTACAGTACGGTACTGTAGACTACGGTGCAGACACTGTAGAGGTAGACTGTAGACTAGTACTGTCGAGGTGACACCGTCGGACCGGTTGACGTTCATAGTAACACGTGAGCGCGTTTGACGTTGCGAGTATGACATCTAATAATTGAAGAGTATAAGTACAGTACTGTACACTACTAAAATGTACTGTACAGTACTGTACACTGTAGGGTACTGTACTGTTCTGTATGATTGCAGTGTACAGTACAGTACTGTAGACTGTAGAGGTGATACAGTAGGACAGGTTGACGTCAGGTCTAGGTTGATCATCATAGTAACACGTGTGCGCGCTTGACGTGACGCGTGTGACAACTAATTAGACTTGAGAAAGGTTCGGTTCGGTTTGGTTCGGTACCTGGATGATCGATATGATCGAATTGAAGTGTACAGTACAACACTAAAATATCGCGAGAAAACTGTACTGTTCTGTATGACTGTCGTCAGCAGTATGCAACACTAAACCGAACCATGGACTGCATTCCGACTGCGGTACTGTACACTGTACACTGTACAGCCCCAACAGATCAGAGCTGGGAGATGGAGATTGGACGTACAGAAAAGATGAATCGATGCTCAAAGCAGAGTCTGCCTCCTTGCTTTCCAACCCAGGTATCGCATCGTACTCGATACTCTATAGCTACAGATTGAAAAGGCATCGCAGCCAAAATGGACGTTGCAGGCACACTGATGCCTACAGCCAGTTGCTAGCCTGCGATATTGATATTGGAAATTTTTACCCAGAGTTAGTCATCATCATATTGATCTTGTTGAACGAGATCGTTGTACAGGATATCCAATGGACCCGTGCAAAATCAACCAATGTTGTCATTCTACTGTGTCGGTATTCTGATGACAAGAGTGTCCAACCCTAACATTCAACACAAGACAATATTCAAAATGAGCTCAAGTCATGCTGTTACTGTGTCAATATCCCAATGGCCAGAGTGGGATTAGACATGATATCTGCCGATGGATTCAACAAAGTTATCATTTACTATGTCAATATCACCAATGACCACACAACGTTGCACATGATAGTTGTTCCAACCCTAACATTCAACACAAGACAATATTCAAAATGAGCTCAAGTCATGCTATTACTGTGTCAATATCCCAATGGCCAGAGTAGGATTAGACATGATATCTGCCGATGGATTCAACAAAGTTATCATTTACTATGTCAATATCACCGATGACCACACAACGTTGCACATGATAGTTGTTCCAACCCTAACATTCAACACAAGACAATATTCAAAATGAGCTCAAATCATGCTGTTACTGTGTCAATATCCCAATGGCCAGAGTAGGATTAGACATGATATCTGCTGATGGATTCAACAAAGTTATCATTTACTATGTCAATATCACCGATGACCACACAACGTTGCACATGATAGTTGCTAGGCGCATTTTCAAAATGAGTTCCAGCCATGATATTACTGCGTCAAGATTCTAATGGCCGCAGCAGCATTCGACATCATGTCTACTTTCATACAGTACTAGATGAGGTCAGGATTTTGACCGCGTTGGACATGATAATAACTAGACTCATTCAAAATGAACTCTAGTCATGCTGTTACTGTATCCATCATGGCCAGAGTATTCGACATGATATCTATTTGCTCATTAGGTTAAATTATAATTCCACTGTGATTATAATACTGAATTGAGCGCAGCGTGGGACATATCTGTTGCATTCATTCAAACTTGGCTGAAATCATACTGTCACGGTTCACCATGAGCGTATTATAATTATTGGTTTATTAAAAATAAACTAAAGTATTGATTTTAGGTCTCCGATATCTACCAAGCTACGCATAATTAGCTCAAGTCTTGCTACTACCGTAGCGATATATTCTTTATCAGAGCATTATACATGACAACTGCAAATATATAATCATATACACGTTGCTTGCTCTGGCCAGTCAATTGAAAGGATGACTTGCAACCAATTATAATTATTACGATTGGAGTTGAGACTTATCACCGCTATAGTACTGTAATTTCCTACCAATGATAATTTAATGATGCTGTACAGTAAACAAATGAAGAAATGAAATTTCAATTTGAAAGCAAATTGAATCCTTCAAGCTTACTTTAACATTTGCATCACACAAATTTGTGTCTTATTCGTGAGCATCGTTTATTACTGAGTATCAGAGCAGATCGTATAATTATCTCGATAAATCAAGGAAGATGCTGTACGATTTTGTAGATTCGTCCGTAAATTACCATTTCGCAACAAGGCTTGTGGTCGGTGGTCAACCAATACAGACTAATCACTACTTGAAACTTGATCATTTTGTTCCCTATGGAACACCTTGCATGCATTCGATTTGAACAATACAATGACGTTGCAAGGACGCACTTTGATAAAAGTAAATTAGAGACTAGGCTGTAAGACCGTTCGATTTAGTAACATTAATTCTGATCTACTAAATTGCTTGTAAGCAGGCTATACACTTGCATTCGTAAAGTGATGGGATAAATTGAAGATCTATTAAACAAAAATATGACGTAGAATAGCAAAAAGAGTGTCATGCATACACTCACAATCTTACAAAAGTGCTTTGAATAAACATTCGCTGAAAGCAAAGTTATAGTGATGCATTTACAGTAAATCCAGTAGATGTATTGAGACGACGGGACGATCTCAATCAATTATCATTTCGCAAAGAGGAACCCGATAATTCTAATTTAACGATAACAGTTTTGTTGATCCTTGTATCAATCGAATTTCTTCTTGACTCAGGACTTGTTCAGCGTGCTCTTGCATCCAAGCCGATACTGCTTCACTTCCGTAGTTGTTAATTAGTTCTTGTCTTTGCTGTTCGGCATTATTAACTTCTCCTTGCATTCTATAGACGAAATTCAAACATCCTATTTCATAGCTATCGTTGCATGGATATCTGGAGCAAGTAAGGCAAACTGCTACCCACTAGTCTTCCATTCTTATATTACGTAACCATGGGAAAATATCTGGTTGTAATAACTAACGTATTATCAATTATACACAGTAAAGATCGATGCAATCAAGATATTGCCCTTAAAAGTTTAAACGCGATTCATTATTTTTAGCATCTTCATCTTTCAAATAGTTTTCGGCTAACAATCAAGAATAAAGTGTGCGGGATTGGGCACTGATTAATCTTATCTTAGGCCTACAGTCACCTCTGAGATTAGTGAAAGTCTATATTCTAGGATTAGATAGTCTTTGAAGTACCTAAGGTATTCACTTCTCATTATACAGTAATAATACTGTAACCTTATGATAGATAGTCAATACAAGTTAACATTCTACCGTAATCCAACAATGTACCTATCTTAATAGAAATATGAGGTAACAATATTCTCACCGGTTACTTTCCGACAATGCTCTTGCCACGAATTGATTTAACCTTTCCTTGTCCAAGTTTGACTAATCCGTAAGATTTTAAATAAAAGATATTAATATAAGGGCGTGAATTTCGTAAAATTCGGTAAATTTCGAAAACACACGGGTATAGCATACATCAGGCTGTTATGAGAAATCGTATAAATGAAATATCGAATACCACAGATTTAATTTATTTTTATGAGGTAAAACTAGCCATTTAGTTTATGTACAGTGTAAGTAATTTGAACTGCATCATGACTAAATGAATAGAAAATTGTAATGAATGGGTTTTAACTTTTTATGTCTATAGTGCGAATGTAAGTACCTCATTTCATCAGCCTAGCCATCCTCTATGATTACTTTATAAGCAACATTGATTATTCTATCTGGCTTAGTGCTTTGCTTCGTGATACTAACATACCTTGAAAACATATGACTACAGTAATTAGTTGAAATTTGCCAATTAAGAATAACTCTACTCTACCACTATCGACGTCTACGGAAAATAGCATATTTACAAACAACTTCAACATATGCAGAAGTAGAAGTACGGTACGTTACTGTCTGTGAGAAAACGTTGGGCTTTTAGCGATTCACATACACGTCTATAGCATAAGAATTGCCATAGATCATCATTAATTAAACGTTACTACGACACAGCATAGACTAATTAATGATACTATACTATTTACGAATCAACCGGCCGCATTTCAACAGTTGAAAAATTTTTAAACATAAACAACAAATAAATTCTGGTTATTATTGCTATCATCATAATAAAGAAGCAATAATAATATCATTTCAGCGATGGATCCAAGAACGAACAAATAACTACCAATATACAATATACTATAATGGCTGTATCTTCAAATAACTAATCAATCAGTCCAATTTCTAACCCATACCTCATCGGAGTTGTCCATTTTGTATCGCATTTTATCGAATCCTATCGAGGTTGCCTTGTCAACGACCTACTCGGAGTCAGTGAGTCACTGCCCAGTGTGCTCACATCTAGCGCCACTTTGGTAAGTATTAGACCATGAGCCTGGCTGTTGTTACGGTACTATGACTGTAACAGGACCATCAAGCACTAGTATTTCACTACAAATAATCTGTGGTTTCGTAGACTACTATGGAATTTATACTGTACTGTACTGTCCGTACAGTACAGTACTGTCAGTACAGCATAGTAGTTGCTTTACATAGACGTCTGTCTGTCTGGACGTAACACGAAACCAATTGCGCAGTACAGTACTGCACAGATAGAGACTGTAGGTAGATCTACTGCGGCAAAGTCCAGTTGGGAGGTTGGGATTTGCTTGCGAGTATCCTTGCCAGCCATTTTTGTAAACTTAAAGATCTTCTACAGCTATTAGCATCGTATACAAGAGTACTGAATGAGTTTTAGTCAAGGCTTGTAAAGTTTAAGCCGTAATTTATTTTACGATTGGAAAAAAATGTCTTGCTCTAGTCAAGCGGATGCTGATGATTCCTCTGAAAAGCAAGCCATCCAAGATACAGATCCAAAGCCACTTCAGCCATCAACTTCTCAAACTGGTCAGGAATTAACTAAAAACCAAATAAAGAAAATAGCGAGAAGGCAAAGACTGCTGGAGAAAGTAAAATCCAATAGGTAAAGTTTGATAGCAGATTACGCACTTTACTCATGTTTGTATGCTTGCATTGCTTGCTCTCTACTGTACATTCTCGTAAAGTAATGAGAGTAGCATGCAATCGTGCTGTTCTTATAAACAAACTTAGTAATATTGAAATTCCTTTCGCCCTATCCTAGCGTAAGGAATACTGCTATTTACCGATACATCTATCCGTTTATTATATTTTATACCTATGCACTGTATAGTATATCTGTTAATAAATAAAAAATGAAATCCAATGTGTATCATTCGTATATATTCAAAATCTTAATATGAAATAATAGATAGTAATATTTGGTATTATAGAAAGCAGGAAAGGATAAAAAGAAAAGAACGAAGACGTCTTCGCATAGCAAATGGTGGTATGTATATATATGTGTATATCCTTACGACTGTACGAGCATATGTATCTTTAAATCTAATACAGTATAATATTTGATTTGCAAAGCAGCATCTTGAGTGATACTTGTACGTATTCAAATGTACGCTAGTTCACACGTTTGGATATAGGTTATATAGGAATTTTGTTTAAAACGTAATCTCTTGTTCAACAGATGTGCAACCTAGGGCTATCAAATCTATGAGTAGTAAATGTGCAAGCAACATTCGTGTGGCCATTGATATGAGCTTTGATCATCTAATGACGGATGGGGTTAGTCTTGGTGCAAGATGTTTATGAATACAGTACGCGTATCATTATACTCGTCTATAATATACCATTAGTGTTTAAAAGCCTCTACAACGTTTGCTGAAATTACAGGACATTGCAAAATTACTAAAGCAGCTACAACGTTGCTATGCTGAAAATAGACGAGCTGAACACGCTTTACAGGTAAAAATTTTTATTGCTTGTAAACCATCAACGCCCATTCTGAAAGATTCTGCAGAATTAAATGTGAATTCTACTACGTAATATCAAAGTTACTAGCTTTGCAATGACTTATTACGGTATTTCATGTGGCTTTGGTAGTTTTATATAACCGGTTTAGGTGGTAGATCTGAGCAGAGGTTCAAAGACGCTGTTAGTGGATACGACAAATGGGATGTGAGTTATACTTTCACAGTATACTGTTTAGATACTGTTTTGTTTTATACTGGCCTAAATAACTATTATCATAGGTTTACAGAAAATCGGAGTCATTCTTAGACATATTTAAGAAGGAAGAAATAGTATATTTAACGTCGGATTCATCCAATGTCTTAAAAGGTCTTGTGTGATAATGGTCATGCAGTTTTACTCCGATAGTATACAGTAAATGAAAATTTAGTTTTTTAATCGTACCGGTGAGTACTTAATGCACGATTTATTTGATCAACAATCATAACTTTGCCTTGTTATCATAGATCTGGATCCAAACTCTGTGTATATAATTGGAGGACTAGTTGACCATAATTTCCATAAGGTTACCTTCTGTACTATTATAAGATAGTAAATCTACAAAATGTAACTATGTGTCGCAATTCGCTCACTGATCGATTAATTATAAATGAATGGCATATTTATCATATAAATTCTTGCAATAAATCATGATCAATTCACCATTATATTAAATAATAACGGACTTGTATTGAATTCACATCATAAAGGGAATTTGCATGAAATTAGCTAACAAGTATGGCATTAAACATGCTCAATTACCTATAAAGAAATATATAAATTTGGCATCAAGGAGCGTCCTTTGTGTAAATCACGGTATAGCGAAAGATATTTGCGTTTAGCTTTTTATAGTTGAACCCTAATTTTAAATGCAATCCTCATTTATCTTTTTTTATTAACGTAGTGTTTGAAATACTGCTGGCATATGCTGAATGCAAGAATTGGGCAAGCTCGCTAGAAAAAGTTATCCCACATCGGAAACGAATCAAATAGAGAGAACGATTTATAAAACCTATTTTATGTAGCAAAATTATTTTTAATTTGCTCAATATTTTCAATCTATGTACCATAAATTTTTTTATAGCTTAATAAGCAGTAATTTTGCATGTGTCATTTGCGGAATGTTCTGCAGCTATCCTTAAAAAAATCCATACTAAGAAAATGTGATATTTTATCAGAACGAATATGCATCAAGTAAAGCATTGCACGACTACCGTGAGTTATCATTTAGTCAACTATGAAGAAATCAGTCGGTACCGATCGATTTCAAAACTCATGCTATTTGAGGCTGTACCATTTATTGTATCGTTAAGTACTTGATAAAATGAGTTTTTGCTCAAAGGTGTAAGTTCCATAATGTTCAATATTTTTATTATCAGATTTACTTTAAAAAGTTCATCAATAAATAATTCGAATCAGCGGCTTGGTTATAACTGTAAAAGTTTGCAGCATTTCTGACATGGTATTATTACAACGCTCCATATATTCATGTTATTGGTGACGTTTAGATGTATAGGTTAATAATGGTAGGAATGCGTATGAAGGAAGATTTGCAGACAAGCATAATATTGTCGTAATAATTGTTTTTGTCAGACTTATCCTTATTACTAATGTAGGCTTGTTAAGTAATTCTTACCAAATGTTGATATTAACTATGATCTTGATTAAGTACAGTATTTAAATGTTGGTTATATACGACTAGAAGGATTGCATTACAATGCCAAAATCACACGATAGAGTAGCTTAACAGAGTAATCTTTTTTACCGGTGTATCAAACAAAATTGAAAGCCATAGATTTTTTATATCTCATTGATTATATTAATATTCTTAACGGAATTTTTAACTGTTAAGGAACCTTAATTGCCCCTAGATGGTAGTAAAATCTATTCTATTAACTTGTTGTTGTAATATTATCTTAGTAATCTTGCTTGAATGCTAAATTGCTAGCACTTACTATCCCTTGATGCTAGTTATATATTTATTACTAAATAATGAATTTTTTTTAATGCTATACATAGAAGGCTATAAATAAAACGATTTTTTATTTATACCCGAGACTAGCCTGCACATGGGCATGAAGAACTTGTAAAATACTACGTGATCTGTAAAATGTTTTTGTCGTAAATGAATTTCTGTGGTCCTGATATAATTTTAGAAAGTATAAACCGATATTTAAATTTGTTAGAGGGATTACTGGAGCAGGTTTCTTTCTTGCAATATGAGTACTACGCATATATATAGAATTCTTTGATACTTTTGGTAATCTTAAGCCAAAATGTAGAATTATAAGTATTTTATCCGGCCTATAATTTCTAAATGGATTGGTGCTTTAAAATTATTTTGTACACACACAATATGTAATTGTAATAGGCAAAATAATTTCATTCTTATAAATACTGTAACTGTAATTCGAAATATCATATGATATACCAATAAATCTGCATAAAAGCAGTGGCATGGATATTAGTAGCAGCATCAAGTGATATTACATCATAAATATGGTAGCACAACAAGAGAAATACAATAAATGAAATACATGAATAGATAAATTTATTGTCGGATAATATTGAAATCGATTTCATTTCTCTTCTAAATTAACTTTCCTATAGAATTTCCAGCCAGTTAGTTAATATGTGGCGACATTGATACACCAAATGGCGAGTAGCCTGTACTCTATAAAATGATGAACCGTGTAAATATCGTATAGCACAATTTGGACATAGTTAATAAAGAAATTCAATTGATAGTCGTATCAGCTATAACAAGAGGATTTCAGAATCGCACTATATATCTGCGCCAGTCTATCTCATTCTACTTTGGCTTCCTCCTATAGCCTGCTTTCATTAAGATTACAAATAATTTTAAGTCGATCATTGTTGCATAGTTACAATGCCAAATTAATTTCAATAAAACTATATCGTCGAATTATAGTGTTCCTTTATTACTTTTGCGAATCAATTTTTTCCTCTTCAGATACTCTTTTTGTAGTACTAGAACAATCAGTTCGTTCTTTAAATTACTATTCAACAAATACGTGAAAACACATATCAATTATCGAGATGGAATACTGAGTAAACCGTTTTTCGTAATTGAAATGTTTTTCTATCCCAATTTTACAAATTTAAACAGTTGAGAAAGAAATAGACCATTCCTGGATGAGGATGATGGCCATATACTATTCGCATATAATAAAAAAATAATTTAATCCTATATTGACTGAATCTCGTTTTAATTGTTTTTAATTAAGGTATTATAAAATTTTTTTCAATAAATTAATGGCAATATAAAGGATTTAATCAAAGTGTAAACTATGGCAATTTATCTATACCAAGGACACTAGAACTTATTTATGACGAGATTTTGACAGCTTTCATTAGTTAAATATACTTAATTAAATCGATGATTTGAATTCAAGAAGAAGTCATAGAATAAAGGACCAAAAATAGAAGTTTAATATCCTTTTACATAATGGTTGTATAAACTAATAAATAATCAAGAATAATTCTTATAATCATAGCAGCTATCCTGTTTCCTTAAACTAAGGTCATCCTCTTATTGTATTAAATTAAAGAATATATGGTAGTTAACGTTTGAATTCATTCTCAGCCTTATTTTGTACGTGTTATGATATATAAAACGAGAAATATAATTGGATTAGTTAAACCGTTCACTGTGAATAGTAGAATGGATATGGTACCAATTGGACGAGATTGTGATATATCTATAAGTTTGTTGTCTGATGTAAAAAAAATAACCCAAAACACGCTTGGTGTCCAGCATAAAATATTACTTAAGACAATTAATCCATTGCAAATAATGCTATATTCAGCATATCGATTAGAACGACGAAAGCTGGTCAAAGATGGGCTTTCTTGCTTCTGTGAATCTAATCGAGCTTTACGCAATCGTAAAGTAATTACGATATAGACAATTAGAGTAATCAAATATATAAGGGCAATATTCATGGTAATAAAAATAGCGAAACCAGCAACATTAGTATTTTGTAAATTATCAATTAAGCAAAGATTACTGTACCAGCTAGGTAATATTGGATGTGATTGATTAAAATGACGATGAGAATAATACGAGATAGGTTCCGAAGTAGCCGTATTAATGACAATGATACAAGTAGCGCAACCCCAACCGATGGCAAGTAGCCAAATGCCGAAACAAATCATTAGGCCACCTTTGAAAGTTGAACGACGATTTAATTTGAGTGGATAAAGAAGGAGAATTAAACGATCGGCAGTAATGGCCAATGTGAAACAAGCAGAAGCTAAACACCCTGCAATAGCAATAAACCGTAAAAAGTGGCAGAGACGACTTTGGCTCCATCTTGATGGTCGATCATTCCAAACTGTAATGCATCCATTATAACTACCATTGCATTGCGTAATTTCATCTACCGTCAAGATAGAAATGTCACAAATAGCCAATATAGTAATATACAAACATGAGAAGATATCAGCGAGACTTAAATTAAAAAAAAATAATGATGCTACTCGGCTTAATTTACGGTCTTTTTTCTTTACGAGTATAAATGCATAACTGAGATTTCTACGTTTTGAACTTGTATGAGTAGCATGATTAATTCTAACCGATGGTCGTATGTATTTCCATGTCATTTTAATAACACCAATATTAGCTAGTAGACCAAGTGGTCCGCATAACCATGCAATAATTTTAGCAGTCAATACACGATTAAAAACATAAAGACTGATCATGCTTTTACTTTCGAAATTAGTACGCAGTCGATGAAAGGGCGAAAATTGAGCATAGATTGATCGAAGCTATCTTGAGACAGATTATTCCCCAATTCTTAGTATGGCCATCCGTAAATGCAATCGATAATGGATATGAAACTCAATCTAGATTGTCGATATCACCTTTAAGTCATGATATTGAAGTTGAATATACTTTAGAAATTATAAATCTAGTTATATCTTTTTCTTTCGACAATTTATCTTTCGCCTGCGATAAAATTTTAAATATGTAAAAATCAGCTAAATTTCATGGATATCAAAGTAATTTATAATAGTAAGACATAATAGATCACAATTGAAGATCAAGTTGTTTTGATATAAAAATAAAAGGCCGATGCCAATGTAAATTATTGATGAATAGAAAACAGCGGTAATTGTAAAATATGCTGTTCTAATAGCGTGTGGGCCAACAGATATATTATTGAGTTAACTTTTGTTTGTCTTTAAGTTATTCATTGAAATATAAGCCTATTCGTCTTACTCCTTTACCTAATTTGCAAACTTGCCTATTTGCGTGTAGACAGCAAGAATGACTTCAGGTAATAAATCTTTTGATAGCATGACGTAAAGGAACAAAGCTGAATTCGGAATCAATTGTTGCTCTGTAAAATGTTGTGATAATAAGTTGATAAATGATATCTTGAACCGAAGATTAATTTAGTACGGAGGAATAAATCAAGTCATTTATCTTCATTCCCTACTCTTGAATTAAACGAAAAGAATTGAATTGACTTGAAATTTTACCGGACGATTTTATATTTATTATTCTAAATCTTTAACGCGCCTTAAATCTTGAATACCACGGTAGCCGACGTTAATATCGTCTATTATTTCTATTTTGAATAGAAATCAACAATGATTGTTATAAATCTGTCCTAGGTACGGGTGAATGGAAAAACGTTGCAGCTTAATTTGGTTGATAGTGTTGACATATTTTGCTTTGATTATTTATAATTATAAGAGGGTCATGTTCAAAAGACAAATCACTTCTCTATAGTTACGTTTTCAATCAAGTCTGGTGCAGTATCCATATTCAATGCCTACCGATTTGCTTACTTTGATCCTTTATTATAATAGAATAACCCTTAGGTTTTAATTAATTATGGAATTTTTTCTTTTTTATGGTGTTCCAGATAGATTATTAACCATTGATAAATATTACCGAAGAATAAGCGTCATCTACTCTACAGACAATAGTGTCTATTTTATATTCTATTGAGTGATGAGCACATAAGTGTGATTGAATAATATTTCTAATAGAGATATTGGATTATATGCTATCATCAATATGGCTTATGGAAATTTAATAATATAGATAAAAAAAGCTTAATTTAATAAAAGCAATATGGAAAATGGATAAGAAAGTGGTGTGAATGATTTTAAATAATATAAAAATCGACATTTTGGAGGAAAATTTTTAATCATTCACAATCTGCAATGGTTATGATAGATTTGCTTGTACTCTATATGTTATCATTATACGTGTATGATTAAATTACGCCATTCCTCCGATATCAATACCAATAAAAATTTTAAATGCTGATTAATTTAAATAAATATCAGAAAAAGACCATTTATAAATTAAATAAATTCATCTTCCGCTTGTGTTGTGATACTGACTATATTATCACGATTCACAGATTTGCTTTGTTGATCCAGTTTGATAATATACGATAAGTAGTTTTTTCGCAAATTGTAAATTTATATCAATTTTGAATTTACGTTTGAGGATAGTCCCGTTGACTATGACTAATACTGTATTGATGGCCACGTTTCAGAACAAAAAGGGGTAAAACAAGATCAGTTTTTAACCAAACAATAGCACCACCAACAATAGTACCATAAGGAAGCTTAGAATAATTCCTAGAACATGGATCAGTGTAGGGTCAATCAATTCATGGAAACGTACTATCCCTAGATTGCTATCTATGGAACTTAAATATTAAACAGCTAATTTGGTTGTAGAACAAGAGGTTCGTCGCTAAACTTGTCAATATTGATAATATATCATGATTAATTTTTGTTTGCTAGGAATGGAACAAGGGGATATTACTATTTTCAAGGTGAACTACAATAAATAAAGGATGAAATTGAGAAGTATAAAATGTATGCAGTAATAATTAAATGAGATAGACTACGAGCTAAATGATTGAAAGTCAAATTTAATTTATACTAAAAGTATTAATATTGCTTTGGATTATTTAGTAATAGTAAAAGTTATTTAGACTAAGTATTACTTCCGCCTAATTTTGTTAAAAATTTAGCGAAAAATATTATAAGCAGCTGATCGAGTTATTGCTTAACTTAAAATTGTTTTTATATAATTTTTTATAGTCAATTTTCAATGTTAGCTAAAATAGCGTGCTTAATGTGGGATTGATTTACGAAGCACGTCTATCCACTTTGATAGAGATATTACCACTTAATTATTTATTTTTTGCATCAGCAATTATTCAAGGATGAGGTGATTTAAAACTGCAGCATTAAAGAGATAGTAATAAAAGACTTTAATCTAAAATGTCAGATTTATTGAATTTTAGACAAGCTTAAATACGTACTGGTACAGGTCATCAAGAATCGACTGCAAAAAGGTCTCAATTTTTTAGGCTAATTATGTGTAGATTTCAATGTAAAGACGGATTTTATTTATTTATTTTGAGTTATGTTTAAATATAAATCGTTAAAGAATTAATTACATGAAGATTTCAATCTAATAATATGAGATTTATCGAATTTTAAAACAGGCTGAAATACAGAGTATTAGAGAATTAAGCGCATGGAGTTTTAAGCCTATCGTCGATCACCCATCCAATGCAACTTTTTGTATTTTGATAGTTGATAACATGACGACAATGTCTTATTACGCAATTGATCATCTTATAAAGTTATTGCTTCCTGAAAGATAAAAGGACGCGATCTTGACTCCGTTGAATAGGATGTTATTACTAGTGTAACTTATTTCACTAGTATTGTACATAATATTTACATATGTTTTCAAATTTATTAGAGCATATTTTTCTTGTCTTCCACGCATTTCTTTGTTATTTTATATCTAAAATTTATGAACTTGTTTTGAATAGTATTTGTTATAAGCGTCAGTTGAAAAGATGGCAATGAGAGCTACTGAATAAAATAATGATAGCGTCTAACTTTTTTGCTTAGTTAAAGGTACAGTAGTAACTGCTATATATTAATTTTACTTAAACCACGCTTTACTATACATTTCAGCATTTGCCATATCTAATAGAAATTTTACACAAAGATACCTAAAGACAAATGGGTAATCTTTTATATTTGTGACACAAAGTAGAGCACATTGACGAAGAGAATTTCTAGCCTATCAAATTGTCTCTTAAAAATAGTCGATATATTAACTAGTTATATCGGTAAAAAGTTGGCTGTCATCGAATAAAGAAATGAAAATTCATGGAGTGCTGCTATTACTATACCTGCATTGAGCATTAATTAATGTATTCAAAACAGAAGATAAAAATGCCTGTAATTCCTTTAATAAAGCTGCAATAGGTATCATGACTTTTATCTTGTTGATGGCTTTTTTTATTGCTAAATAATTTCGAAGGTTGTAAATAAGAATAAAACTAATGAAATTTATTTGCTATTAGCCATGCCAGCGGAGCTGATCAATCAATTATTCCAATATATATCCTAATCTAATTTAACTGTAAAATTTTCTTTCAACGGTATAAAGCAGTTAACAAGGTTCAAACTTAATAGTAGCAGATTCAATTTCTGAACGAAGTTTTTTATCGTAAGAATTAGTACGGTATAATTGAATTTAATAAGTAGTATAAGAACCTGTTTAATTAAGGCTATGCTTTCAATTCGTTTTCTATTTGCTGTCTAAATTTTATTATTTTATCAATTTGAAATTATTCTTTACACTCTATCAGGTTTTCGGTCGACAGTTTATGACGGAAGATAACATATTTACCTAGGAGATAAGTCATTTTGAGAGAAAGTAGTGTCTGTACGCTATTAGAAATCATCAAAAGAATGTGATAGGATGATAAAGCGAACAAAATAAATCAATTTTTACGACTTTTAGAATAATTCCTTGTGTTTAGAACAACGGTAATTACTACATATTTTTGTGGCCCTCTGTATCAACAGATGAAATGTGATAGGATGGTAAAGAGAAGAAAATAATTAATTTTTATAACTTTAGAATAATTTATTGTATTTAGATCACCGATAATTACTATACATTCTTGAGATTCATTATATCAACGGAACTTGGTCCGAATAGTCAAAGTAGCCAAAATTAATTTTATTGATCAATTTTATGCTGTTTATTACATGTAGAGCACTGGTAATAAATATATTGCAGGAAATCAAATGCTCAGTTTTACGACGTGATCAATATATTCAATCTATCTTCATAAATAACAGCACTATATCGGCTTTCAGATAATAAATTTTCACCTCCTACTTTGGTTTTAGTCGCTGTAAAGTGACAATATGATTGTTTTATAGATTATACACTAACTGGCTATTTTTACACAGTTGATGGCAATATCGTGTATCATGTTCATATACACTATTCTAACATATTTAGTATAACGAACAAGAAAATTTTAAACTAATTTCTATTGTAGCTTTGTCTATATCGACGGATGCCATGCCGTTTTCTACATTCATAACCTCAAGCATTGTATAGCATTTGCAGAATTAAAGTTGATATAATAATAAAGTCTAGGTCTACAGCATATATAAAATTGATATGCATATGCAGTAAACGGACGCCTGAAAGAATAATGAAAATAATTAATGCTGAAAATTTCAGTGTTAAATATACAAAATTTCTGCATAAATTTATCATCACTCCATATGATACCATATGGTGGTAAACTAAATTTATAACTTGGATGAGATCACTAGGATAGCATCACGCTTGCGTTGTTAACTTCTATGTATAGATATGGTATAAATACCGAATCAGTTACGTAGCCATCTGCAAGGACGCTAATCTGAAGGCTAATAGAAAATATCAGATCGCTTACGTAGCCAATTATAGTTCAAGGACACCAAACTGACTGAGGGTAGCAATAGAATAAACTTTCAGTTTTAATATATAATATCGATATAGTGGAGAAATTATCGGGTATGTCGAAAAGTTAAAAATTTTAAACAAGTATTATCAGCTTACTCGCTATGTCAGACCCTCAATATTTAAGATTTGGAGATCAGATTGCCCTATATTGCCAAGACTCTCGCGGTTATGTATTTTCTCAGTTAACTTGGTAAGAACTCTGCTACTTCATATAACGAAGTGCTAGACTACAGTATTGTTGATGGATACATAATTTTGAACTCATATAATAGCTAAAAATTCATTTGGCATTCTTCCTTCCATTTGGAATCAATTATTTATTTCTTTGAATGTACAGTGAACCAAATATCATGGATGTTAATAATAAATTCAAACTAGAAAGCACTTCCTAACTATCAATGCCATTGTGTTTTCATTCCTAATTAATATCTTTAGTTTATGTATTGATCGAATTATTACATTTCATTATCCAATACTGTACGTTGTGTAAGGCAGCAATCTAATTACAACAAGAATGAGATATCTAACGAAATCTATCAAATTTTACATTAATTTTGAACCGTATTTTTAGTTCCCAACATTCTCGAATCGCAATCGGTGCTAACGATAGACAAGGCCAGAATGTACCTGATTTAAAATGTAAGTATGCTGATAGATATGGTATAAATCACTGAGAAATTTTTAAAAGTTTTGATTGATTATTAGAATTAAATGTGTTCGAATTTTGCCAGCTGTAATATCATACTAAGATATACTTTTTATACTATTAAGATTACATCTCTTTCGAAATTGATATTATGGCCTTTTGCTACTTGTTGCGTTCTTCAGTTCCATTACAAATAAACAGATCGCTATAAAACTACCATTAAATTATATGACATCTTCTTTGATTATATATAATTAATTCAATAGGATCTACTTTGATTTAGATCATTTACTATTCCGCTTATGGCTAGATATGAAGGCTATATGTAGCTCGTGATGGTTATCACAATGATCTGTTACTTATTATGATGTCTAATCATATTACTGTAGAGATAAACTACCATACAGTTTTATTACTATCTTACTAAATGCTTTAACTTGGTTGTAATACTCATATACTGATTATACTAGAGTATAATAAGTTACATTGTAGAAGCATATTTTGATAAATTAATATATTGATTACATAATATGAAGGTGCCTTGTTTCAACCTTTGCCACCAACTCGATTCAAGGCACAAGATAGATTAGCTGAGCTAAAATCGAGGTAACCTTGATCATGATCACGTATTCAATTGATTGCAGTCAGAGTCAGACAGATCGTAGATTTTATACTTGCAATATATTTAGCAACTAGTTTCATATAAACTATTGCAGTTATTCAAAGCTTGAACCAAACCACAGTGTATCTTTGGCATTTAACAAAATTATGCTCTTTAAGACTATATATATAGTACATGTAATTCTGTAACTTTACCAAAATAGCATCGACGAGTTACTAATTTAAATTGCACTTATATTTCAGATTTAACAATCAAAGTGGATTAGGTGTAAAGGATGTTGAAGAATTAGAAGACGCTGAGGTTAGACATGTTTCATAAAATGTTTTCGCTATTCAACTTTAGTTATTGCCATTATTAATCGTAACAGTTTTTAGATTTTAATTGAAATAGCATTATGACTGATATCGCTTACAGGTGTAACATTATGATCTTATATAGAAGATGCCTAGTATAGTAATATCCTAATATACGAATACTTATCATATACCGTTTAAGTACTGTATTGTATTACATTCATAATGTACGACATCATGACTACATATAGACGACATGCTATACATATAAAGACATTATCTCAATCTCATCTAAAACCTATAAATACCCTTGTACGCTAACTTGTTAGTCAGTTCCTACATTCCTGCTATCTCAAATACCTTATCTATAACAACCATATCATTGTTAGCCTGTAACTTGTATCTCAATAAAATCCTTTATACCTTCTATCATCGTCTACCTTAAAATACTTTACGCTACTTAAAGAAGATATTATTACATACAGGAAGCTGCAGTATCTGAAATAGAGGAAAATCGAAATGAATCTAAAAATCTAGCTGCAAGTATTCTGGTCTATGGTCAAGTTATCCAGGTAGCATCTGCAGTAGCTGATCCCTAAAATTTAGCTGTAATATTGGATTTTGATTATAATTTTCGGATTTGACAACTGTTTTATTATGCTACATAAAGCGTTTTCTCATGCGATTAAAATGACCAATAACGTAAAAATGAATTTGGTGATTAATTACAAATAACAACCACATCATATAGTATAAACGGACTATAATTCTGCATTCTAAAATCAAGAATTCGCGTAATCGAGTAACTGTAATTCATTCATTTTTTAAATTAATTTTAAGATTATGCTCATGGTGCACATATAATCTTATAGCACTCAAATAGAATCAAATCGATGATAAATCTAAAGCCATATCTTACTGAGTGCCTTCTCTTTCATAGTTATTTCATATATTTACAGCAAGATTTGTGGGAATCGATCCAAACACCCCTTCTTGTGTAGAAAGGTTAAATAAGAAGGTAGGCGTAGATAACATTTCGAAGATTGTTGTAATTTGTCTTGAAATTTCGTCGGCAAGCTCTGATTTTAATCGAATTATACCGTACACCTATGTCTTAAATGCAAGTATATGAAATAGATTAATTAAAATTTTCATTTGATGAAAGGTAAAATTATTTCAAACAAGCAATAGCCAATCTCTGTTTAAAATTGTACCAAGATCGAAAGTCAAACTGAACGGCGATAAGGTAGATAAAATCTGTAGCTCTCTATCCATGATGGAATGATTGTTATGCTAGTAAAGAAGTAGCTTCGCATAAAGATAAATCATTCTGACCAGTCGTATAAATCTTGTAGTCAAAATATGCCTCAAAAATTAGATTGGGTATTAGCTTACAACAGAATAAGGTGGATAACTGAAGACTATTTTGTAGCTATACTAATATAGCGTATTTTATTGTAGATATCTTTAAATGATCATGTCATCTTCGAAAGCATTGCATATCCCGATTATTACCTACATTGTAGCCGGGGAACATACGGTTACAATGAAATCGAGAGAGGAAGGTTAGTATCAGATTACAATTAGGATATTTTAATTGATTTGGCATTCTTTACTGTAGATGATTATATGATTATATGAACTTGTAATTTTTTTCTCTATCTTTAAAAAGCTATGAATTAGATCTTTCTGTTTTAAAAACTGAATATACCCTTGGGCTTCATTATCGACCATCCCTCTATCCGGAACACGATCAGTTTATAAAGGTATCTCTAAGCTTGAAGGTTATTGTAGTGAGTGGGCTTGTAGTAAAAATTAAATAAAAATTATGGACACCTTGCTTCTATCCCTCTAAATGGTAAAAACGGATAAAAGCCTAATATAGGAAGGATACACAAGTATAGCATAATTTCATTATCAGAGTTGTAAGCAATGCTATTAAACCGCAGTTTAGTTTGTATGATCGGAAACGTAGACCTAATCCTGCTGCCGTAGTTTCGTACAATTTTATATATATTATATTGAAAATAATAAAATGTTTACAAGTTCTAAGCATTGATCATTCTAATCAACTTTCTCTTTACTTAGCCTGGTAGTGTGCTACAGCTATTTCATCATGAAGTTAAGGGTTACCTTACAGCAGAAGGATCTTTCTTTGATAAGGAAATCATTGAAGAACGTAAGTTAATATCAGGGGTAAAATGTCGTAGAGGAAGAAATCGATCTATCGCCAGTTATCGTTTGCTCTGACAATTCTTATGTTAGTGATCAGTTAATGATCTTTGAATAAATTGAGTCTTTTCTGTACTGTTTCGTTTTTCATCTAAATGATACAAAGCTATTCTCAACTCCATAACCTGTAATGCTATATTGACTAACTAATCATCTAATTTGAAATAACAGCCCATATAGGAATATGCAAAAATAAGTCAAATCTGTTACAATATCGCTTTCCAGTTAATTCTGCCCAGGTTTGTTGGCAAGTTGAATTCACCGATGTTAATCAAAGTTACGAAGGTAAAATTGATTCTGCTTTATTGCATGCAAGAGTGACTATATTTTATGCTGTAGCAGCATTAGCTATACAGTAAAAGGATTAGTCGTGAACACGATCAAAACCATAAGATTATCACCGTATTTGTATCACTATTAGGCCATTACTTAACTTGGAATCAACCTTTCCGCTTGCGCCATTTACCGTCCCGTCAATATTTACGGGTTCGACAAAATAATAATACTGGTCTGATGCAAGTATGTCTATATTTCTCCATCAGTATTGAAATTATAAGAATGATGCATTTTCAGTTGAGAAGATGTTTAGCCTGTTTCTTGTATCCAAACTAGTTTATTATCGATCAATATTTTACTTAGCGGAATTTAGTTAAAAGATGATTGAAGTAGGGTGTTGACAATATTAATATCTAAGCTATGGACATTAATTGAAACTGAGTCTTTGCAGTTCTAAGATCTTTGATGAAATCCTACAAACCAAATTACTTTACATCTACAACATTTTCAATCACCTTGACATGCCGACGGCACTTAAACACAAAATACAGTCATAATTGATAACAATTTAAATCAATATCGTGAGCAACTATGAATGCTTGACAACTACGGAAGGTTAATATATGAAAGTGCTTTATATGGCTTACAGAACAGTTAAAATTAGAATCGTTTGGCTTTATAAGTAAACTACTTGATTACGATGGTAATTGACTGTAGATGAGTTTCTGCTTTCAAAATAATGTTAGATAGCATAAAAACCAGCAAGGACTGGAAATTCAATATTTGTAACTTAAAATGCTATATCCAAGTCATTCCAACCAAACTGGTATAGCATTGCAAAATTTCGATTAACTCATAGTATCTAGCTATAGTCAAAATCGGTTACAGTGCTTCTCATTTAGAAGACGTAGTCGATAACAAAGCATAACTATAAAAATTGAACTGGCTATAAAGGATAGGAATGCTTCCTACGTATATGCAAGCATCAGTGCTTGTGCAATGTGCTTGTTATGATCATGCTACTCTACTACTACAGAAATCAAAGTAGACAGTTGCCAAGGACATATATGATGCAGTGTAATTATTTATATCTTGGTTTGCTAACTATTTTAATATGCCTACTAGATTACAGCTGATACGATTACTGATGATAGTGAATATGAAGATTTTACTTTTTGCTTTCATTCTGTTATCAAGGTAAGCAATATATGATAGTTATGGAAGCGCAGGAATCTAATCACTACCTGATAATTTTAAATATTAATCATCTATATCAAATTTAATAATTCAAATATAAAACTAACAGTAATGACGTTGAATATTGGCCGTAGGAACCTTTGGAACATATTTTAAATGACAGTTACGTTAGAATGGAACACATAGCAAGTCATTCTTGGCTACACGTTTGCAAAAGTAAGGGCAGAAAATGCTGTATTTTTGTGTGTTAGTCGAAATGGTAAAATTTATGGCTGCTTAATCTGATATATCTAATGGAGTAACGCTAATACATCAATTAAGATCATTATATTCGCTCATCGAATGGTGGTAGCACTATTTCTGGATCTTCAGATCTAATGGACATAAAGTGGGAAGACAAGGAAACTTATCAAGTAATTCTTCTCATACGATATTAAACTGATGAAGCTTATATGATGCAAACTACATGTATATACTTAATGTTATTCTATTTTCTCTCTATGCAGGTGGACTTCGTCAAGATTTCCAAGTCTCACGACATATTTTGTGTTCAAGAGGTAATTTTATATTTAAAATTGCATTGAAAGTAAAATATCAGTTCGAAGGATAGAAATTTTAACGTTTGAGTACAAGTTCTTCTTTAGTAACAACTTCCTAAATTATGTACACAGGTTGATGAACAGTTGATTACTAGATTTAACTATGTCGCTGGATTTATTCCTTTACTAAAGAAATTTGTCAAGGAGGTTGGAATTTATTTGATCTGCCTCGTGAATGATCTATCACGATGGATTAATATCTACCACCTTAATGCGTATTTTAATTATATTATCAACATCCTTTCTAGAGAGAACAAGGTTTGCTGTGTACCGAAAAGGATAAAAATGCTGTCGTGGCTGTAAGTAAAAAGCATCATTTTTAAGAGATAAATTAAAAATATCGAAGAGGGCTCACTTAACTTTTGATTTAACACATTACGCTATCTAACACGGAACAATCTTGTAACAATTGTATCCTTAGGCCCTAAATGACTTGAAAGAATTTCAATATGAGCAAGGCGAAGTTAACTTAATAAATCAAAAGTGTTTGCGAGATTACAAGGTATACATGGTATTGTTAGGACGAAAGTTACCGGTATATATTTGCAGTATTGATTTATTATGATATTCATAACCACCACGCAGATTGTTGATATTGCAATTCGGTTGATGCGATTATGGGAACGACGATTTTCTCTTCCAGCAGATCAAAGAAAGTAATTGATTCTAATTTCGACATAAGTTTGGAGTTAGCCTCTCTTGTATCTGCTAGCTAGGCTAATAAATGCGATGATATCCATAACCATTTATGTCATGTTGGTAATATTAAATGATCTTTCGTAGATATTTGCAAGTAATCTGCGCAGAAACTTCTGACTTATTATTTTATTTCCTGGACAGCTATAAAGGATACCAGTAATGTTTCTAATAAAATAGCTTTCATACTATCTCATTACGAAAGTCTATTATTTTACTCCGATATAGAACGCTAAAACTCCATCTTTATATAATTTATATTTCAGTAAAAATAAGTTATATCTTGCAAGATATATTCCAACTATACAAAAACAGGTACAATCTATATTTCATAGTTGCTATGGTTAGAAATCTAAAATTGTATGCGGTATTCTTCTCATGTGATCACAGATTGGTCCAGAAATTCAGTGTGAAAAATTACTAATCGAATTGATGAAGGATAATAAGTAATAAAGCATGTAAGATTGTGGAAACTTCCATTCAATAGATACATTATGTTTTTTTCTAATTCCTTTCAGATGTATTCTGAATCAAATAACAACAAACCATATCGATAATCTAATCGATACATTACGTAATAGCAAGGTCAGATATGTTCATTANATAATAATCGATTAAAAAAAACTATAGATGGTTTATAATAGTTCATTTTAGATAGCTTTTAAATATTTTAAATAATCGTAGCCATTATTAGTGAAAGTTTTCTAATTTAATATAGAATATATTTAATATTTATTTTCTTTAGAACTATCTTTATCTTGACTTTTTGGCTGCTTTATGTGTTAGTGATGGCTGCTCTTTACCCAATAATCAAGGTTCATAGATGTAGCCATAAGCTTAATGATAAAGATTTATTTATTTCAAATGCTTTGAGATTGTTTATACCGATTTTATACCATTTTGTGGTATACGTATTCCGAGGAATCGCTAAATTAATTTAATTGCATGCTAATACATTAAAACTATCTGAAAATACTTTAATTTATTGAGTAAAAACGAATTAAGTGAAATATAACCATTTTTGACTATTTTCTTAAGAACAGGAGTACATGTTGTAGTAAGAATTAAAAATTTATCTTTCTAGAATATATTGCCAATGAATTATTCAAACATGAATCAGCTATCTTACTATATCGTATCTACCTTGGAGAAGAAATATATTTAAAACACGGCGTCGTTTATATTGGTTATAAAGGAAGCAAAGAATGGAAGCCAATTCAACAATTTCTTGTAAGATACTCTCCAAGTTAAGATATTTAAAGAAGTCTTGATCGATATGGATATTCGGTCAATAAATATATTCCTTCCGTTTACTAAACTAGCGAATAATAGTTGTTATATTCCTACCCTGTGCTAGGAATCACAAGCGAATGGCCAACTAAATAGTCGATACCTTTACCTTAAAAAGCAGCTGTACCTTTTTTGCAAGCTTTGCTGGGTTAGTCAGAAGAAAATTGAACAGATTGTCGAGCTCATAAGTTAATTTGTTCAGACTCACTTGCTTAGCTTATACATTAATATCGGAGTTTCAATTACACAATAGGGAAGAAATTGGCGGGTTTTTCGTATTTTGATTGATGTAAGTTTTCAAGAATTTGGGGAGGCATGATCGATAACTAGATTGATAAGTATATTGGTATAGTTATCATATTATCCATGTATAACGTCATTCCTTAATAGACTTATTTTGAGCAAGAACCCTGAAAATGAGTATGGTATTACATAAAATTAAGACATTTTGTATATTATGCTTACTTTGCGAATATAGGAAAAGAAAATGTTTTCTCTATCTGCTGTTTGTGCTTGTGTACGCGACTGCCGTTTACCTCCCAGTCTTCGAGCACAATTTTGTTATATAATCCGTGGTAATTTTTTCATATTTATTCTCATAATACTCAAAGTTACTTTGCTATTCCATTTGCACTTTGTTAATTGCTATTTGTCTAATGTTATTATACCTGAAATGACACGCTGGAAAAGATTCTTGATGAATACATTAATTGATAGATTTTGTAGCTTACAACTATTTCAAATATTATAAGAAATATGTAATGTAAACTAAAAATATTAAGTACTTCCGATATCAAATAATAAACTAATATAATTATAATTCATTCATCTTGTATGTATATATTATTTGTATCGTTAATATGAACATATGTTGATATATAAAAATTACTATATTTCTCTTACAGATATCTATATGTCCGGTAGAATCCGTTCTTCCATTGCAAGTTTATACAGCCTTTCCTTTGTTAGTTTTTAGCAGTAATAACGCTTCAAGTTGATATTACTATAGATTAATTTAAGAATCTAAAATACCCTCAGATTTGACCTTCAGTCTTGATACGACTTTAAAACTAAATACTGACAGTTATAATTTATGAGTAACTATTTACCCTTTGACAACAGAACTACAACATCAGTGAAACAGATGATTTTCCGAATGATTTTGCAAAGGTACTCAGAAAAGATCATACCGAAACTTACTAGAAGAAAATGTTAACTTAAATATTAGGCTACTGCTGATTTCCTATGACCCAGTTTCGATTTCTGAGCTATTTAATCAAAGATTCTATTTACTGCTTTGGTTTAGAATTTTACAGCGTGGGAATTATTCCAAATCAATGACTTAAAATTGTGGTGCTTGACATTTCTATCCAAGAAAACGGTAAGCGTAATGGCTATCACAAAAATGTGTAGTTCGAAGAATGGTAATTGGTATTTAATCACAATCTACCCGAGCCATTTATTTTTTGGACCTGTTACTTGGATTTGCTGTTCTTACTGATTTTATTTGTTCTTTACTTTTGTTTATTATCTAGCATATGATTGCATCTCAAATTGATCTTAATAAATTTATAATTTCGGTAAGTATCGTCTGGTAATCATTGCACGAATCGCCTACAGAATTAAAATTGGTATTAAAATCCTTTTTAGATATTGAAATTAATCCATAGCTTTGTCGAAGAGGGGTTATATCAAGATATGGAAATAAAATCATTAATAAAATCCATTTCATTCATAATTAATGGAAGCATGGATACGCCTTATCACACTATACCGATGAAAAGTATGCTATATAGGATTAAAAATGATTCTGATGATGACTTTAGACATAGTGGAATTAATAATACCTTACTATATGGTACCAGTCCTAGTAGGTCAGGCTTTAGAACTTTTGAATTTTTAATTATTTTAAATTCAGGTTATACGATACTTCATAAAGAGAATTTTTTACATGTATCCAATTTTAATTAAGTATAATGTTTCGTTGTTATAGGCTATAAATTGGTAGAATTTCAAGCATATAGGAACAAAAGTAGATTTGAACGGAGTAAAGAAAATGGATTCATGGCCGAGGCAAAGCGCAGGTTAATAGTTTATTGTATAGACTTTGAATTCTGATATTTTTACGCCTATTGTGTGCAATATTTTATTCTAATTTAATATTTGTTACTCCTTGTAGGGTTCTACGTACTTTAGAAATGATATTTAAAAGGCAATGCTATCAATATGTAAAGGTGAATATATTAGAATGATGAATTATTCTTAAGTTTTTAAAGCTATAGAAAATTGGAATAACAACCAACACTTGAAATCTTATCTCTATTATAGCGATTTATACAGGAATTTAGACATGTTGAAAGCGAAACTAGAAGTAAGAAAAGAAATTTCAGTAAGAAATTTAAAGGCAGCGATAAGTTTGTAAGTCACCAGATTATTTAATAGCAGCATATTATTTGAAATGAAGGATAGAGCTGCTATCTATTTAGGAAAATATTTTTAAAATTGTGTTATATTGGATTATTTTCAATTAGGCTTTTTTAACAAAGATGATGCAAATTCACAATTCGGAGGCTGTTATCGCCTCTATTAGGTGTGTATATTACAGTATTGATGTTTCTTCAAATTGTTAGCATAAAATGGCTATAATGGTTCTTTTTTCACTTCTTTTATTTCTGCTAATGAATTAATCTTTAATGCTACAGATTAGATGATCAAGCTAAATTGTTCCTAGATGGTCTTCGTGACGAAACGACAAATTGGAACAAGTTTGATTCAGAGTTCCTGTTATTGGTATGACGGGCTGTGGACTAAAATATTCAGCTCTATCATTTATATTTCTTTTATTTTGTAATAAGCTACTACATATTTTCATTACTATTATAATTCCCTAGATTTTAAATTGGAATAGCGCATTTTTCGAAGTATCGTGTCACTATCATTAACATTTCTTTTACTTTGCTTTAAGCTACTACATGTTTTCATCACATTTATAATTTTAAATTGCTATACATTTTTTTAACTGATAATTAGGACCTTACTAATTATAAATATGAGTGCATTAGTAATAATGCAATCGCAGTTTTAAGTGCCAGATATTCTATCTACCAAACATTATTTACCAAAAGCAAAGAAATCCAGGTAGGTTTAAGATTTTCAAATGCTTTGCTGTCATACATACGCTCATAAGAGGGCATCTTCAAAATAATTAATTTCATAACTAACTATTAATTGTGATTTATTCTCTCACTAAAATTCTATTTAAATGTTCATTAGTTACTTAAAACTACAAAATCGATCCAACTGCATGATGAGGTTAGATTGTAAGCTTAGAAAGAAACCACTTCAATGTGATTGCTATCCTAAATTGATTGTGGACCAATATCGTTATCTAATAACATCGTATTCTGCTATCATAAATCTTCTAGATTCAACAACAAGTAAAAGTGTTGTTTCAATTATTTAATATCCAATTGAATACGAAAATTCTCTACGATATATCTAAAATAATCGAAAAATTTACGAGGTTAACCTAATGATTAATCTTTGATAGAATTTTTTAACCCATCAAAACATGATCTGTGTTACCGTTTACAGTTTATGTAGCCTGCGTGGTGATGACGAAGAACCTCATCCCATAAATCAGCAGTTACTATATAATTGCGGAGTCTTTCACATTGTCTTGGACATGGTAAAATTGGATGCTGGTGATTACACCGAGGTTTGAGAAACACTGTATAATTGTGACTTAAATTCCTATTAAAGTTAAATCTAGTCTTTTCATTAATGCTTTCACCTATACCAGTAATACTTAATTTTATTCTTGGGTGTTGCTATAAGTTGCTCTATCTGAAATTGTTCTACAGGAAGTGAGAAAATTTTTACCTAATTTGATACGTCAAGGGTATAATTTGCTACGGAAATTAGCAAGGTTGATATATCAGATATAAATAAGTGCTACTAAAACTGATATAAATATAATATTATTCACTCTATAAGCTAAAGACTTAATATATTGAGAATTTATTTAATTGTGAGCTATATACTTGTTCTCAAATTTTACTTGTCTGGTGAAATAGGAAAAATCGAATTATACAAGAGCAATTGTTTGAACGTATAGATATCTTATTAGCTAGTGAGAGCATATTTTTAGAGAAGATCTATGCCTTAATAGAAGTAGGCATTAAAATTAAAATTACATGAATAGATCGCATGTCGCTCTTTTAACAAGATTTTAACTACTAACTATTGAATAAATTACTGATAAAGACCATTTTTTTGGGGTCACTACAATTAGACTTTTGCCGGTAATCGAGCTACTTGCTGTAAGATTCGAAAGCAACATGTTGAGAAAATAATGGTATTACTAATTAAGAATCCGCATAAGCCACTATTAATAGATTTACTCTCCAGTTTCATCAAGGTAAGCTCTATGACAGTAGGGAGAAATTAGTAGCGAATGGTATAATGGAGAATCAGGTCAATTTTTTGCTTATTACACATAACTAGCTAGGGAAGTATCATGACAGGGTGATTTTATTATTTTTAAAGGCTTCTTGATTGCGATTTGTTCCCAACTTTAGCTAATATGTGATAGCAAAACAGCTACTCTATCTATATAAATTATTGCCTTTAAAATGAATTAATCATGCAAATTTCTTGCACATTATTGATAAAATTTAGATGGACTAAGGGATACGTGATCGTATTATTCTGAAAGGATTATTTTTTTGATAAATGTAACAGCTATGCTGCAGAGATTGTGCGGCTATAGTTTGATTACTTGTAGTTCCTCCATGTCTGCCCTCACCTAGTGATTTATTACTTTTATGAAATTTGAATGAATTTATTGAGAGTGAATAGATAACTAGGTTTATCAGGTTAATATTTGAAAGTCGTATCACAAATATCTATTTATTAGTTTTCACAAAGCCCTGACTGCTTATTAAACAGCGGTAAAGTTGAGCAACGGCTACTAAATTTATAGCAATCATTAATTACAATATCGTAAAATTTGTCTTTTTGGTTCAATATCTAATTCAAGTTTATTTCAATGATATATCAATCTCCTGCAAAGGTTGATTTATTAAATCCACCTATCCTTCGAAATCAAGCCATAATTTCAACGGCAGTTTTGGATCATCAATCAGAAGTATTGGACATCTTGAGTGCAGAGAATAAATTAAAAAGGTTAGGCTGATATAATATTGTTTTATTATTATTTTTTAATTTCGTCGGAGGCTAAAGCATATCAAATACTAAAATGGCTTGTTAACTACTAGACGTCATTTCATACAAATGGGTGCTGATCATTATGGATTACTTTACTTGCTAAATATGATCAATCTTTTATCTCAATGTGCTGAGGTTCGTAGACCGTCTAGCTAATGGCTTTGATTAATGCATATCCTTATAGCTTACTAAAAAGTCATCAAAAAATGTATATCCTTCTATAATTTCCCCCAAAGTCGCATGATTTTAATTCAGATCACATATTTGCCATATCTCTATCTAGGGTAATAATCACTGTCTTGAGTCAATTTGTCAAGAATTACTACCTATAGATGAAATTTTCGATGTAAGTATTTCATCAATGGAAATATTTCCAGCACGATCGCGCCATTTATTGATCTTAAAAAGCCAAGATGCTTAATTATTCATACAGTAATCATTTATTGATTTTTATTTCTTAAATTTTACCAGGTATTGCTGGAAATAAATATTCCAATCTACATTAAAATACCATATTTAAAGTATTTGACTTCTGTATATATGTACGCTGGGAAAGATGAAACAGAAAAATTAATGTTACAGACTCATCTAAAAAGGTAATATCCTCAGCTTTTTTCTGTCATTTTGTTCATCTGTAAATTGTAGTGCTTTGGATAGAAAGAAATTGATTGATTATGGTAGCAGTAATAATAAATTTAAGCATGAATTAAACACGATTTAAGTTTAAAATCTTTTGCTTAACAGCGATCTGTGGTCGTTTATTCAAAACATTCTGCAAATCCTACAAGCTTTAAATGATCAGATTAATCGACAAGTAAAGTCAGGCGTAGCTGGCATCAATCGTTTACGTTTTATAATGAAGCGGAAGAATATTTTACTATTAAATGGGTTAGAATATTGCAATATCACATTAAATTCAGCATTATTAATACGACATCTGTTATAAAATGAATATGTCATGGTTCCCAACAGCACCAACAAGGCTGGACTCGAAAATGGTATTTTCATTTACCTATTTAATGGAATACTGCCTTTTCTACAAGTTAGTGGAATTGACCTTTCAATATCAATAATGCAGAGTTTACTACACATTAACTTAAATAAGGAGTACTTTTGTAATTTGGTGCCTAAATTATTGTATTATTAAATTTGCAGGTATATTTTGAATTATACTTTCAATTTGAATCTGAAGATGATTCAGTTTATCATGGCCAGATGAAAGTAGTTAGGGAATTGACCTTGCTACTTCATGTAAGTTCATTTAATTAGAATTACTTACAGTTACAAATTTTATTTCTGCTACGATTGTATTAGCATACTCATTTTATAATTTCTTCTTATAATCTTATAATACTGTGTGATTCATGTCTTCGAATATAATAACATTTCTGTTTCCCAAAAGAATATAATTATCTTGCTCTATTATCACAGCAACTGGCGAACAATACTATCCGAGTCCTCACTGACAAACATCAGTTTCAGATTTTGAAAGACACTGTAATTTATCTCATGCTTAAATTTAGTAATATAATACAGGCTAAAGTAAGTAAAGCAAAAGAATTATTTACATTTGATCAGAAAATATATCAAATTATTATACATGCCTTGATCAATCCATTCTATCTATCAGATCGAACAATCTGAATACCATCCATTAGATTTAATCAATCACGATTTTAATGCAATTAATCCTGCTCTTCAAGTTAGTTTTCACTTTTAAAACTTACCATGAATAGATCTAACAACATTACATGAATCGTTAGTAATAATCTATTGTACTTGATATCGATACAATTTCAACGAGAAAAATCTTTTTTTAATTTCTAATACGACAGCATTATAGAGTTGTATACGGTGAGGAAAAGCGCTTAAATAAGCTGTTTTCTCAATACGTTAATAATTTTCGAACTACTTATGCCAACGGAAACATTATCAAGACACAACCAGAAAAAGATGAGATTCCCTTGGCAAAACAAGGTGAGATATACAGCCTTAAAAGCGTCAATTTCTTATTAATTATAACTGCCGTAATTTTGCTCTCAGATATTTGCATAATTCAAATTTATAACTAGTTATAATAACTTTATGGCTCTAGATATGTCATGATAATCATAGCTATAAAATATCAGCAATAAAATGTAAAAGAATTTTACATTAAATAAATTTTTATAGCACTTATAAATAACTTCTGTATGTTAGCTAACATCGAATTTGGTACTATGAAACTACCACTTGGCAAAGAATTCCAAGATTATGTTGCCTGCTTTACTTCCACGTATGTTGTATTAATCTTTTAACTCTTAGTTACTACAGCATATATAATTTCTAACTTAATACTTCGGTTTTTTCATCGATTACTCGTGGCTTTATCTAGTTGCTAGCTGTGAGACAAAGCTATAGTGATTTTCAGTTGTTCTTCAGCTGATTATTATGATAAATTGACTTGAGTATTCCATAATTTATTATTCTTGTCTACTTCATTTCAGACATTCTGTTGTTCATCAATCCATTGCTAGCATTATTAGCCAGCTTGGGTACGTTACTTTGATATGCATATAAGAGGCTAAGCTATCATTTTATTGGTTACCCAGAAAGTATGCATTTAAGCAGGACTTTCTTTGCTTAATGATTTCCTTTATCTGTCATCTATTTTGTACAGGTCAGTATTAAACGATAATACTGATACCGAAATGGATAGGCAAATGAAAAAACAATTATATATTCGATATCTGCAGGTTAACATGTTACTGATATATTATTGAAATGATTTCAGTAGCACTAACACAATACAGATATATGATTGGAATTATTGACATCAATATTTGTAGGTTCTAAGGGCTACTATCCATAACGAAATTGTTCGTTTACCATCTAAAATAAGATACGAGCCATGGAAATATCGGCAAAGGTGATCAGTAAGCTAGTTTAATCTTTAGTTTTCCATGTTGTTTTGATGCCCGAATTTTGACGACAATTGTAGGCTCACGGGAGTTAAGCATGCCCAACAAGCTATATTAGTAGACAAAACGGCTGTTTGCAAGGTTTGCATGTTGCAAGATATCTGAAGCAAAGCTCAGAATAATTAAATTACTAAATGTTTGCCTGTGCAGTATCATAGACTACAGATTTTTTCATTCAACTCTAGATTCTCTCACTGATCGTCCATCCCTGTAGTGATATAGTTCGTGAAGTCCTTGCACTACTAGAAGTTTTACTATATGGCAGAAATTCTAAAATACAAGTTTGTATAGTCTGATGCTGTTGCTAAGTATTGCACTTATTCTTTAATTTAAAGCAACATAGTCGAGAAGTAAACTGTTCTATAGTTGTTAACTAGCTTGAGCATCTAATTCTATTTCTTTATTTATTATTGTCACAGGATCTGTTTGAGAGTTACTTGTTAGGTACAAGAGAGGAAACATTTTTTATGGAGGTCCATAGATACATTCTAGTTTATATGGATAACATTAAGGAAAGGTAATATAAGCCTATCATCGAAATGTAGAGAAAGCCAACTTTTCGTTAGTTATGATATACGGTTAGAAATAGCTATGCGATAAATAAGCAGATGACTGTTGCCGATTCTAGGCAGCAATTAAAGCGTCTAAATGATTGGAAAGAGCGAAAATTAACAATTTTAGTAAGGCATCATCGCATTACATGCCCTTAAGGTGTTCTGTCTGGTATTGATTCTATTCCTGAGTAATTTTAAAATCTATTTTCAATCGACAGCATGCCGCACTAAAAACTAGCGGCCATTACAAGAAATCCTCGGAGTCAGTAAGTTTTAAAATTAATAATATGATTTGATTTTTGCGGGCTCACTTGAATAACTGAGACTTTAATATCATACTGGTATTCCTCTTGCAATGACAGGCTATCACTTTAAAACAAAATGAAGATGAAATAATGGAGGTGACTTTTTAAAACCATTGCAATTTGCACTATAATCTCAATACACTGTGTATATGAAAATGGAGGGTTTTGGATTTATATATTTTATCTAATTTTAATGTAGTGATTTACACATATTTACTTTCAATAATTATATGCAATTCACAAATAATAGAAATTGGGTCAGAATTCCAAGCCAGTTTTGGATAATTACGAATATGGGTATATCAAACTCATTTTAGCCATAATTGCTGGTTTATGCGATGGTCATCGCTACTCGCTACAGGTAAATTGTCAGAAAAAACTAACTTTTGTGATCAAAATTTGGTTGCTTGAATTTTTGGTAGCTTTGACATGGACGCTTAATTTAACTAAATAGGATTACATTCGATATCAATGGAACCATATTCAATCATTTGATATCGTATCAGACTTGGCTTTATTGCTGAAAACTATCTGCCAAGAAATTGACAGCTATGATGTGAATATTCTCTGCCAGATACTACGCACGCTTTCTAGCCTGTCTCAAGTAAGTTTAGCTAGGATCATGAAGTTTAAGGGTTTAAACTATTTTATGGAGGTTAATATAGCATTGGTGCGTTCTTGAACTTTAAAAATCTATCATCAATTGTAGTCTATATGATGATATAGATGTTCAGTGACCATTTGAACTTACCAAGATCTTCTCTTTTGGTAGGGGAACGAATTAAATCAGCAGCTACTGCTCAAGTATAAAGTTCCTTGTATGCTAACGACCATATTGAGAGAATTGAATTCCACATGTTCCTCTCTATGGGTAAGCACTATGCCCAGCTCCAGCTTCAACTTGGTTATATATATTTCTATCTACTAAAGAATCAACAAAAGTGCAACGATAGCTTTTATTAGACTCGTACTAGAAGTCTTTGTTATTAATATTACTGGCATATGCGTCCATTAAATCAATGACTACTTAATATTTTTCATAATTTGGTATCTTATCTGTTTACTTTGCTAATTTAACGAACTGTTCATAATTTTTCTATCAACAAAATGGTATCATTTGATCTCTGATATACTTCTGTTTACCTCTAATAGGTTGTTCAATTAGAAAACGCATGCCTAAACCTATATTGGCATTTTCTAGAAAGTACTGAAGAGATAAGTGACCAACTCTTTAAGGTACCAATGCTACTAATGGAAACTATTAGCTACTAAAGAAAAAACTGATCAACACTTTAAAGTCTTAATGATACATTTTAGCTTTAAATAGCCGTCATTAATAGAAATTTGTTTGAGTAAAATTACTATAATTTCTTACTTAAAAACAGTTGTCTTCTTGCAACTTTAGGAAATGCAAATGGCTGATTATCAATTGTTTCAATTAATCCTTTGCAGTCTATATGAGCAAATTACTGCCGTAAGTACAATATATATCAATATTTGCTGGACATTGTAATGTAAAATTATACTTTCATACTTTACAGACTACATAACTGCTAAAAGTTGATTGTATACAGTATAGTATGATATTCTACGGCTGCTCTAATGATTGCATACTTTAGCCCATATCAAGAGAATCCAATAGCAGCCATTTGCAGGGAGAAAATTGTATTCAAGCTGGCATAATGTTGTATCGAATAATAATGCGGTTAAAGGATGCAACTGATGACCATGGTGAGATATGGAGTGATACATATTTAATTCATCTATAACCAATTTCACACTTTATATGGGAAAAGGCCTTTTTATACTACTACTAGATTGTCGTATTCACAGCAAGATTTTTACGGTAAATACGTTCTAAAACGGTCATAGAATAATGAAAAATATTCCAATAGGGAAGCTAGGCTTTTATTTGTTTGATAACTTGGCTGAAGAGAATGAAAGTAAGAATGAACTATTCAAGCAAAGCCTTAAATACTTTTCTCGGTACATGGACTGCGTAGAAATAGTTTATAGGAAGAAATTCTACAAGTTAAGGTTTCAGTTTGATCGCAAGGTGAGTAGTATTAATGATGTTAAGGTTTGGAATGTAACTGCTATCATTTTCTAATATTCCATAGCTGGCATACGAGCATGATCAGTTCTTTTGCAGTAATTATATTTCTATTAGTCCATCACTAATTTATTTTTTAGCCTTTATTGAATCATGCACATTTACAGAAGCATTTTGCATATCGTGAGCATAATATATCTTAAAAATGCTATGCTAGAATATTGTATGTATAATTAAGAACGGTGGTTGATGGTTCTAGTGTTCTGTAATAACTATAAATTTATGTGATCATTCTAGCTTAACTATAAATCTAGTCGCTGAAAATTAATACGTATTTTATATTTATTTAATATCAATATCGGGTACTATAGCATATCGATGTAGACTATTTTAAACCAAGGATTCTGCCTCACAATCTAAACCTTTCGAGAGAAATGCGCTTACGTGAATTGTTTAATGCTGCGAAAGATGCAAACCATCACGTGGAGAAAATATCTACTTTAAATAAATTTGGCAACCAATTATATCGGAAAAAGTATACTACTTACCCACATACGCTTGTAATCATAGCTTAACAGCTTTATTGAAATTATATATAAATTGGCTTCTTTTTCAGGAATATCTATCAGTGTATCTATAACTTAAGTACCTTGATGTTGGTTATACTGCTCATCTTTTGGAATATGCCTTGCAAAGCTGAGCAAAACAAGTAAATAGAGTAAATGAAATTTGAGATTGTATACTAAATAAAATATTAGATACTTCAGTGCAAGATGAATGACCGTTATTTCGCTATATTTAACATATAAATTAAACTAGAAATTTGAAGGAAATTAAGATGCTTAGCGCAACATAAGTTCATGCTCGCTTTTAAATTTTCTTAGGTTTGGGTTACCGTTTTATCAAATTAGTACCAGGCTTGCCGCAATTTTATCACTGTTTGGACTAGGTCACATGGGTGCTTCAGTTGGGATAGTTCTGATATACTCTATTGAAAATAAACTATTCTTGCCACAGTTCATCGATTATACTAGGTAGGTCGGCTGTCATAAAGTGGATTGGAACTTACTTTTTTCACGAAGGCATGAAATGAAAGTAGCAAAGTCTAATTAAATTTGTTCTATCATACAGTATATCATTGTCACTGTTTAATTATCGTCTTCAAGAATTGCTGTTCCATTTAATGTGGAAATAATAACTGCTTTTAATTATAAAGTAATTTAGGGAGCTTAAGCCTAACAGTGAAGAAAATTTGCAATCTTGAGATCTTCTTGAAAATTGTAAGTAAATTGTATACAAATATGAAATTATTTTTTGGGTATCTCTCCTATAAATGGGCTCAATGATTGATAATGTTGTTTAGTTCTACTTTGAAACTTTGGATGGATAGTAGCAGTATTATCAGCACTTGAACGCTTTTCCTGTAATGAGCTTTACAACTAATTATAATATTCAATCTATTTGATTTATTTGGATTGACAACTGAAATAGTTTTAGCTATTGCATATCTTGCACACGAGCTTTATAATTTTCATTTATATATTTTAAATCTTTGTATGGGAAACATATATGAAATAACAATGTTCTCCGTACTTTGCACTTGTCCCATAAATGAACTTTATCAATGATGATATTCAATTTTGTTTCATGTTTTGGATAATAATAATGTTTTCAACAGTTGGATATATGTTTCCCTAAATAAATTTTCTATCTGATGATATTCAATTATATTTTAAATTTTCGAATAGATTCTGATGATATTTTCTGCCCTTGGATTAGTTTATCAATCCTATTTTTATCTGCTTGCTGGCATTATTGTACTAATCGATATCTATTCGGAGAGGACATGGAAGAATGTATCCAGTGAGTCAAAATTACGTTGCTATCTATATTCATAGAGAGTGTTAGCATATGATTTGACATGTTTAAAAATTATAATTTCTATATCCAAGGTACATTCCCACTCCAACATTTACTATCGATGGCAGCCATTTTTTATGGTCTACTAGAAGTGATATCAATCTTTAAAATAACCTCTGCCCAAAGTGGGGTGCTTATGACTCCATTAGTTAGGATGGCATTATCTCTGGTAAACAGTTGCTTATAGTTTATTAGCCCTGCTGATTCCTGGTTAGATCCAATCTATGATTTATGCTGGTATTTAATTTTATTCTTGGTATCTTTTAAATTAGAGTTATTATGGGAATGAAAATCTAGACCAGACCAGTAGCGTTATTTTGCCAGCTGTTGGGTTGCTTAATTTTGTAGTATTGCTCATTATTGGCAGCGTAATGATCACTATTCGCACTTTTCAGCGGGTGAGAATTTACCAAACTTTATCATCATTCTCCTTTAGCTTAATTTTATTTTAAACTTTAACAGTCAAGGCTGCCTATACTGCTATAACTATTTCAATGTCTTGCTGGGTTAATAATTAATTCATTGAATGTAGAAAAAGCACCCCAAGATCGCAGCACAAAAGTGCTATATTTGCAATACTACTAGAAAAGCATTTCAAACAACGAGACAGGTAATTAATATTCTAAGTTCTAATAGGCCACTCTTTGAAATATCTCGGAAAGCTAACGAATTAAAATCATTACTACAGAGCTTTGATGATCATGTCTATCATCGGCATAAATTGGGATCATATTGGAAATTTCTCATTTACCTGCAATATACTCCTATCTGTCAGCAAAGTAGTTTAGAATATTACGTTTATACGAAAGTAATTCTAATTTCATTTTTGCCAATTTTTCAATATCTCCAGATGAATGCTTAAGAAATTGATTCTAATAACATCTTGTTTATTCTTATGTACTCTCATAGATTCAGAAAGGCGATATTGACTTTATACCAAGGGCGGAGGAGAAGATTTTAATGAGCCATCCAGACGCGCAGTAGGAGTTTCATCGTCGTTCTTGTTAATTACGTATTAACTTAAATTTAAAACTACTGAATCCTATCCTACGTGAAACAATTAGTCAAAAGCTGTAGTGAGGCTTGAATTCTTCGATGTCCCCCTTCATTCAATATATATCATAGCCCGGAGGCAGTACAGATAATTAATCCATTTACAAAGTCGAAAAATTATATAGTACTGTACTGTCTGTTAAGTATTCAATGAATGTCATTAATGAAGTTACTCGGCCATTCTTAGGCTATTATTTTACCAGATTTTTAAAGGTAAATGCCAAATATTACTAGAAACGTAATGTAATGTACTATACGTCATATATTGTGTTAATAGAATTTTTAAAAGTATCTAACAATTATTAGGATCATGAATGATTTAACTAAATTTTAAATGTATTTATTGAACTTCCATTGGGATCAAAAGTAGCGTACGTATAATTACAAAGATTATTAACCATCTAAGACTTGATGATTTTGTCCTGCTGCTGTTGAAACAGCTAAGCGAATAATTTATTTAGATAGCGAATTTCAATTGGAATTATATCTAACGTCAATATTATTGTACAGATTGTTAAATTTATGTGAGAGTTTATCCACTCATCGTGCTATTATTGAAAATCATTAAGCAAATAACTTCGCTCATTTTAAATGTATTTATTGGATTCCAATTAGAATTATAACTACCATCAATACGATTACGCAGATTAACATATACATTTGGGGATTCCTGCACTTGTCGTGCAACTGTTCGGACTAACGAAGCAAATAATTATAGCTTAATTCATTTTACTTGTATTTATTAGATTCCATTTTAAATTAAAACTATCGTCGAAGTAATACTGAGAATAACGAAGTGAATAATTAAAGTTATTTTATATGTATTTATTGGATTTTAATTGGAATCAGAAAGTGCGTTGGTGCACTTATGCACATTACTAAAGTCATCTCAGGATTCAAGCCTATCGTGCTGTAATGGAAAATGAAAGGAAGAATTATATTTTTAACTCCTTTAAAAATCAATATATTGGATTCCAATTGGAATCATAATTGTCGTCAAAACTATATTGAGAATAACTAAGTGAATAACTGAATAGATTTTAAATGTATTTATTGGGTTTCAATTGAAGCCATAAGAATGTTTGTTGTACTATTGAGCAGATTGTTGTAATCATCTAAAGATTTATGCAATTGCTATTCTATTTAAAAATAGTGAAACGAATAATTTAACTTATTTTATATATATACAAACTGGATTCCGAATACAATTATAATTGCTGTCAAGAATATTTTAACTCATTTCGTACGTATGTACGAGCTATTAGATTTCGATTAGAGTCAAATTGTTGTCACTATTACTGTAAAGGTTATCAACTATATAAGAGTTGATACACTTGTGGTGCTGCTATTAAAGTGAACAATATCACCATTCCTAGAATAGATATTAAATTTTGCGAATCACATAGTGATGGCAACTTGAAGCTGGTGTTTTATTTTTCTTAAATTGTCCCAAGCTGTTTAAAATAAAAGTATATTTTGTACCTAATCGTTTAAAGTGTTTCGATATTTACACATGAAAATGGGTTTCCTTGGTAAGTATTCTATATTGGAATGGTCTGTAATTACTACCATGGACTGCTAGCTAGAATTCAAAAAAATCCGTGCCACAAGATGATTTCACACTTTCAATTTTATTGAGATGATAAGTTTGTATGCGAACAAAAAAATTTTCGTAAGCTTGTATCAATTAATAAATTAGTCAAGAAAGGATTAACAAGGTGACAAATAAGCATGATTACCATATATAAATAACAAATTATAAAAAAGGCACTGTTTTAAGAGATAGAAGTCAAATGAACCGTTATTCAGTCCAATCGTTGAATATATTGAGAGAAAAACCCAATGGTCTAATTTGTAACAAAGACACGACTACAACGTGAGATATTTTTACATCAATCATTTACAACAAATGCTGGAGAAGAGCTACTCAACCTAGAATCTAACTACGAGAGCATACCTAGGTATGCTCAATAGAAAGTTATTAAAAGAAAGTAGGAAAATATAAGAAAATTGCAAGTTATCTCAATTTCATCGTGGAAGTACTAGCTGAAACCTCTTAAGATGTTTCCATTCACCGCATCATACCTTGGTAAGGTTAATAGAAATCGTTAAAAGAAAGCAGTATGTTATTAAAAAATTGCCAGTTATCTTCATTTCATATTGAAGGTACTAGCTGAAACCTGACTGGATGTTTACATTATTACTTCGGTAAGTAATTATGACAGAACGTCACAGTAAATGTCAAAATCTTAAAATTGAAAATGGCAGCATAGGCATGTCAATTTCGCCAACAGTTTTTATGAATAGAAAAATGGGTACCATGATAAAAATGCTTCAAAAAATTCGAGTAGATTTTAGAAAAAAGAGTTAAAATGGCAGCAAACTTGAAAGAAACACAAGACAAACCAAAGTACGACATACCCAATTGAACGGGAAATGAATAATATTGGTATCAATAACTGAGGTTTACAAAGCGGAATAGAAATGAGTTAGCAAAAGATGAATAAAGTTTTGAGAAAATTATAAGAATAGGATATCAGAAAATATTGATCGCGGTGAAGATCAATCATGATAGATAGCTAAATTCTTTTCTGGTCATAGCCTGACTGATTAATAAATATAGTAGTAGGTTGAATATGTAAGGGATGTAAAATATTGCATGGCATCTTTAAATTGATGATGGCATGATATGGCAATGATATTAATCTTGACTGTACATAATAACGTAGAAAATAATGATCAATGCTATTCTTTAGCAATTTTTTTTCCTTAACTTATACACATGCTACAGTCTGACTGTCTGTGGAATAAATTGCGTGTGAATTATTGATAGATATAGATATGAGGAAAAGACGATATCATATACAAAAATGGAACAGCAACTGCTGTAGCTACCTAGAGAAGTACACATAAACATGTTTATACCGTTCATTGGTAAAGTTAGCACAGCATGACATGAGCTCCAAGGGAAGCTATAAAATTGAAATTTGTAAATGAAGAGTAAAGTTAAACATTGTTCGAGCATCGCTTTCCCATCAGTTTTCGCTCTTGAAGGCAAGGCGAGCAGCATTGCCTCTTTTAGGATTATTATGTGTTTTCATATGCTTGGATAAATGATCGCTTCTCATAAAGCGTTTGCTGCAGACTTTGCAAACAAATCGTTTCTCCCCTGTATGTGTTCTTAGATGGCGTTGTAATTCATCTGATCGAGTAAATCGCTTACCACAAAAGAGCCAATTGCAGACGAAAGGTCTTTCACCGCTATGCCAACGCAAGTGTGCCTTTAAATGTGATGTTTTAGTATATACTTTACCACAGTCAGCAATATGACAAATATGTTGCGCTTTACGTCGGGGTACAGGCTGGCCAGTAGCAGCCAAACGTTCATTTTCTTGACAGTATGGACAATTACAACTTGATCGATTTCCACCGTATCGACGTCCACTAGTTTGTTTGGTTGACGACTGAAGTTTTTTATTGCCATTACTATTTAATTGATTGCTGTGTAATCTTGACGGCGATGAAGTTGGGTTAGGAGAATTGCTATTCATAGTAGACTCACTTGGCAGTTTGCTTGGTTTATTATCGCTTGGTGTATTGACTGGACTTGCTATGGATTCGTGATCGACATTTTGCCAGATATTATCGTTGACTGCAGCTGTCATTGTAGGTTTAACCACTAATGTTCCCGCATTTTGTAGTAATTTTGGATTGGTTGAAGGAGCTACAGCAATCATTGGTGGCCAGATGGCTTTCCCTAACAGTTGTGGATGGATTAATGGGCTAGTTGGCAAGGCTACGGGAGCATAACCTGAAATTAAGTTGTTATCGCTGCCCGTTCTGAAATCGTAAAATTGATATGGTTGAATAGCTAAAGTAGGAGAGTGAGCAACCGTGATAAACTGCGGCGATAGAGGATGGCCAACGGTAGTAGGATTACTTATGGTGTTTGCAGTGGTTACTGCTGTTTATAGGATTCCACCAGAGTCATGATATTAATAAAGAATACAAGTAGAAAAATTCAGTTTGATTTTAATATCAATCAATCAATGCAACAGACTAGTGGTATAAAAATCCATTGTATAAAATAGTCTACATCCTTTTTATCCTTCAATATATATGTATAGGTTACGGCCAAAACCCGAAGTTGGCCAATACGCGTATTGGCCGGAATTCGGGTTTTGGCCGTAACATATATACATTATTGATGATCAAAATCGATGACAGCTGAATGATTGATAAAGGAGTTTATGACATAGATCACTGCAAAATAATAGTATCACTAGACAGCTAGGCGATATTACATAATGTATCCTTAACTTTATCCCGCTTGATGTCTCTTTGTCAATAAAGATCAATCAATTCATTACAGTAGGAGTTATAGTAGGATTTGGCTGGCTGTATTGTTCGTTGAAATAATGCATCATGACTTTGCAATGTAGGATATGCTGTAACCTGTAAGTTATTCAATCCTTTGGGTGACAAATGCTATAGGAGACAGTAGCATGAATAAATAATTCATCTCGATTGGTGTTAAAATCTATGCTAATAATTAATTCATTGTAAATCATTTACAACCGTAGCAGTTACTGCTGCCATAGATTATGAATGTGTCGGAGAATAACAATAACACTGCAATCGAAGCTATACGGGAAAGTTAGTCTATACTTTAGGTGGCAAATGCTATTGGAGACAGCAGAAAGAATAGGCATAATATTATGTTTCCTGGTGATATTCATGCCAACTATTGTACATCCTTTACAGCAGTAGTTACTGTAAGCATTGGATACCTTTTTGGTTTACTCATTAAATAATGTATTACTATCGTGCAAGTTAGTTAGGCCATTGAAGAAAGTAGCATAGAACTCAATATCAATAACTTTGATCCCATTTTGATTTCTCAATCCGTGTTGACCGTTGTCAATCATGGACAGCAGCAGCAGTGATTACAGAAAATCACTTATTATGCGATGTTGTTAAATGATGGCCAACAATTCTCCAATCTAGGCTATATACTGAAAGTTGATCAATATACCTTTGATAACAAAATGATATGAGAGATAATATTAGCATGGATGCTCAGCTCAATAGCCTTGGTTCAAACTTGATGAACTTCATCACATTTATTATGCGATGTTGTTAAATGATGGCCAACCATTCCCAATCTAGGCTACATACTGAAAGTTGATCGATATACCTTTGATAGCAAAATGATATGAGAGATAATAATAACATGGATGCTTAGCTCAATAGCCTTGGTTCATGCTTGATGAAATTCATCACGTTTCAAGTCGACAACTATTATACATTAATGACAGCAGTAGCAGTTGGTGTTGGAATGTGCTGTATTGAGAATGGGCTAATTGATGTCCAACGAACGATGTTGCAATGCATTATAATGTAAAAATATCCTACAAGACACTCCATTATTTGTAGCAAGACCGATAGTTCGAGATAATACCTATGAAAATATACAGCTATCTAGCATTGGTTAATGTGTCTTTAACCTCATCAAGTTTCATGCCAATATCCAGTGTACATCATTTAGAATAGTTGGAGGCAGTGTCGGAAATTTGCCGTATTGCTAATTTGTTGAATAAAGGACAACTACACTGTCATCTTAATTTAGGATATACTGGAAGTTAGTCAGTACTTGCAATTATCAATGTTATTGGAGATGATCTTTGATCACGTTCCATGTCAACAATGTCAATCATTTATAGCAGTTGCAGTTATAACAGCAATTTGCAATACAGTATTGCTAAGTTGAATAACTACAGTGAACAATTGTGCTGTAATGCCGGATAGATTAGAAATCAGTCAATACTTTGAATGCTGTTGATCATGTTGCATGTCTTTATCCATGTCAATCATTGTTAACTTTCAACAGTAGCAATCTGAGAATAGCAAAAATGGCCCTAAATTCTGCCCACTAGACCTCAAAACTATGCACTGGTAGCAGCAGCAGATACAATAAGAATCTGCTGTTGTATTGCTTGAATGATGATGCACAACGATGCTATCGTAGTGCCGTGAGTTTAGCCTTAACGTTCAATTCTACATTAGCATTAAAATTACTAATTTGTGCTACAGTAACATTTTAACTTTATTCTAGCTATCATCCAACTATTTATAGCTTCGTTAATATAGTAATAAAAGAGGCTGAATGATACAGCACTACAGCCAGATCGATATTAACTATTGCTTGGTGCATCAGGCGTTGCCATATACAATCCAAGGAAAAATTATGGAAGACGGACTATTGATCCTAGCAAACAGCTTATCCTAATATTTTTTTGCATTATCCACTAACCTTCAATCATATTAGGATGGACTAAAGGTGTAGTCTGTTGTCCAATTCGATTACATGTTGCAGCTAAAAGGGCCAGAGGCGTTGCCATCTTGATTTTTCACTTGAACGATTTCAGCCAAAAATAGGATTGGATTTAGGCAATATCAATATCTAATGACATTATTCAAAAGAAAAAAAGTTCAGTTCATTCAAATCAATACAAATTCTGGCTTTCTTCTTTATAAAATGACTATAAATCTTGTCAATTCTAATCATGATAATCTCTCCTTAGTTGTGTCATAAAGTTCATATTGGTAGGTTGTGGACTAGAATTGAAGAAAATTAAAGCTAAATTTAACTACTGTATAATTTTTCAGTGCCTTCTCGTTTCTTATTCATGATATTGTTGTGTAATAAGGTTGATATTGGCAAGTCGTAGGCTAGAATTGAAGAAAATTAAAGCTAAATTCACTTACTGTGAACGTAACTTGTTAGTGACTACTCGTTTCTTGTTCATTAAGCATGGTTAAAAATACAATAATTAAAAATTAAGGCCAACTTCAAATACTGTATATCTTGCCAATGCCTCTTCGTTTCTTGTTCATCAAGTATGGTAAACAAATACAACAACTACTACAGGTTTGAAGAAAAAGGCAGCCAAAATTTAGCAAGTATAAAGTTTGTCTGTTTCAACGACGTCCTCTCTCGTTATTGGTGTGAGATTTGCAATTTCTACCACAAGGTTGAAGAAAACAACAGCTAAACCCAAATTGCTGTTGAACTTGTCAGTACCTACTCATGGTTGAAGAAAACGACAGCCAAAATCAAGCTACTGTATAACTTAGTCAGTGCCTCCTCCTTTCTTGCTAAAGCAGTATGGTTGACAATTAGCAATTTGTAATGTAGAGTTGAAGAAATTGGCAGCCAAGATTAAACTAGTGTAGAACTTGTCAGTGCCAGTTCTTGCTATTTCAGTAAAGTCGATATTGGCGATTTCTACTCGCTGTTTCTCGCTATGTTAGTGAGGCAAATTGTACGCTAGGATTGAAATAGGAATCACAACTAAAATGGAACTAGTCGGCTTCCGTTTTCACTACTCGAGTTGTTTATGTTTATTTAGAGATGGTGGGTTTGAGATGAGCTAGTTGGACGATTGTAGATCACAGTCTAACATCAATGTCATGCCCTGTGGAGATTTAAGCCATTAAAACAGGAGTAGTAAAGGGGCAATTTCCTTGCATAATCCCGTTTCATGTGGGTCATGGATGACGAACAACAGTCTAATTGATTAGTAATCATTTGTATCCACGTTCAATTGAATGATGGCACCTCTTCCCTTTGATAATTGTTGACTACCGTAGTGCAATCAAGACAAACTCATTCGGATTGACTCAATTACCTATTTTATTTTTTTCTACTTGTCTTTTACAATAATCCATTTCTCTTTGTCGTAGAATCGATGTAGCAAAGAATAATGATTGTAGATAGAATGGGTGGTAATTGTTTTATTAAGACGAGCTATTCAAAGGAAGATGCTCTTCTATTTTATTGCCTCTTTTCCTCTTTACAGAAATTGAGTTTAGTCCAATGATAATGCTGTACCAATAGTATACATGGTTGTAATAGGTAAACTAAGTCTATTGGATAACATGTTATAGATTGGGAAAGACTACAGTTGAATCTGCAAGAAATATTAGAGTAGAGAGAGGAGAAAAAAAAAACTTCATGTCTACTGTGTCCGAGTTGTACCGGATGATTCAGTCGACTAGTCATGCAGAGGTTGCAAGTCTTATCCTTGAAGGCGTAGCTCGAGAAATGATCCATTTTAAACCTCTTTCTATCATGATGGAATTCAATCTAATGTAGCCTCATGTTGGAATCTCTTTTTTACAAAAATGACAACCCTTATTCAATATGTAGCCAACTAAGTCATGATTAAAATGGTAGGTCGTGATCATGGATAGGGTAGAGGAGTAGACATGGTATTGATATTGGCTTGTTGCATCAGTGGATAGCAATATCGGCCATTTCCCTTTTGGTTTGATCCATTTCCCTGTTCTTACCTCATCAACTGCAAAGCCTATCCCTAACTAGGCCAAAGTTCTTGGCATCATGAGTGTA